GCATGATTATACTTTTACGAAAGAAAACATTGCACTGGCTGCAAGGGTTAAAATCTGCCGATGCAATGTTTTCTTTTGTTTTAAAAACTGACATGAAAATGTATTACAATTTTGATAGATCATTATACTTCAGCGTTTACATGAAAGCACTGGTGGTTTACTGGTAGAATGATCGCCTTGCAAGCAGGCGGCTGGAGTTAGATTCTGCCTGTGCAATGTTTTCTTTTGATTTAATAACCGACTTGAAGATGTGTATGACAATTTTTATAGATCATCCCAGTGTTTACATGAAAACACTGGTGGTTCAGTGGTAGAATGATGACCTGGCATGCTGACTGCTTGGGTTCGATTCCTCTATTGCAATGTTTTGTTTTAAAAATTGACATGAAGATGTATTGCTATTTATATAGATCATACAAGAATGTATTCATGAAAGCACTGGTGGTTCACTGGTAGAATGCTCGCCTTGCATCCAGGCGGGTGTGGTTCGATTCTGCCAATGCAATGTTTTCTTTTGCTTTAAAAAATGACATGAAGATGAATTACAATTTTTATAGATCATACTTGAACATTTGCATGAAAGCAATGGTGGTAAACTGGTAGAATGCTCGACTGACATGCTGGCGGACGGGGATTGATTCTGCCAGTGCAATGTCTTCTTTTGTTTTAAAAAACTGACATGAAGATGTATTAATATTTCTATATAGATCATTCTTCAGCGTTTGTAATGGGAAAGCACTGATGCTTCACTGGTAGAATGCTTGCCTGAAACTGGCTGGGGTTCGATTCTGCCAGTGCAATATTTTCTTTTCTTTTTAAAACTGACATGAAGTGTATTGCAATTTTTTACATGAAAGCGTTTCATTACTTGCAAGCTTTTCTCTTAAACCAGTCGTTAAAACATTCTGAAAATTTTACACATCGTCAATTTAATGGTCATGTTTTGGATGGTAACATTATTATTTGATATATATATACAGGGCGTATAAAAAACGAAACAAGTAGTTATATCTCGTAAAATCACAAAACTAGTGATGACTACAATATCATTCAATGTACCATAAAACCACGTCTCTCCTCTTTGCATTGATATGTCATTCATTCACATGTGGTAATGGTTGGGTGAGAAATCCTTCCATTTGCACAGTGGGTCAAAATCAGCTCTGGACCAAGTTTTAGATATTGCAAAAATCAGTGCAAGGGCTAAATGCCAATTGAAGTTCCCCTGACTTCAATTGTTGTGACTTTTTCTTTTGGAGCTATCTCAGGAGCATCTGTGCTCAGAATTCCTTCACCAGATATTGCAAAACCTCAAGAAAGAATTGCCCATCGACTGCTTTCCTCTGCATTAACCCATAGAGATGACTCAGGGCTGAACCATGCATGACCTGGACAGATGAGCGCATCTTTATGTGCAAGGAAGTGGTGGCAACTTGGAGGGGTATAGGATATGTATTCTTGCAAGAGAATGAGTATGAAGTTATGAACACTGTCTATGTACTGTCTATGCCAACCTGTCACGCCCTCTTCCAAAAGCCCCTATGCCCCTTGTACTTACTTTTGCAATGTTTGAAACTTGAGTCCGAGCTGAATTTTGCCCCACTTTGCAAAATTAATGATTATTCGGCCAGCCATGACTCCCTGTGAATGAATGATATTCCATTGCAAAGAGGAGTAATTTGGCTTTTTGGTACATTGAATGAAAAGGATGCAGTCAGCATTGGTTTTATGTTTTCTTCCAATATTGCATTGGGCTCAGTACACTGACTTTTGCAATGTTTAGAACTTGCAAATGGAATGATTACTCGCCTAACCATGACCAAATATCAATGAATGATATATCATTGTAAAGAGGAGACACGTGGCTTTATGGCACATTGAATGAAATCAATGCTGTTATCACTGGTTTTGTGCTTTTCTGAGATAACAATCTGTTGCGTTTGTGTCTCTCAATATTGTAATTATATACAAAGGAAAGAGTTTGGTTGATTTTAAAAAAGTATCTTGTTAATAAAATGTTTATCTTAATTTTTTATCTATTTTGGGGGGTTTTGTTTTAAGTTTTTGCATACTTTTTGTAAAATTAACCAAAATTTTCTTTGTATAACTGTAATATTAAGAGGTCTGAGAAAATGTTGAATATGCTATTTTGTTCCAAAAAGATTCGGAAAGACATTTTATTCCATTCTCAAGAATTGGTAGAAAGGAACAAAAAACAATTGCACTAAAAACAAAGTTAACAAAAACAGTTATATAAATAATTTTAGCATTAAATTGTCAACATTACATAAAGGACCGTGTTTTTACAGAATGTTTTCAATAATTGGTTCAAGAGAAAAACATTGTAGGAATTCAGTTCACCATATCGATACCTATCCTTTATTGTAATAATGTATAATGTTGTTTCATCATACAAAGATTCACGATTTCTGCAGAACAACGAACAAAATGATACTTTTTGTAATGAGGATCTTGTACTAACAGCTAAATGACACTTTTTGGCGAGAAAATCAAGGTGATTAGGGATAGAGGGGCAAAGTCAGTCGGAATTCTATGCCAATAAAAATGAAATTCATAAAAAAAATTGTGCATGTTCCGGAATTAGCTTCTGTGGTTTCATAACTATAATGATTAACCTTTCAAAATTTTAGTATAATATACTTAATCAATAATTGTTATTTGCAGAACTTCTTGAAATATGAATGTTTAAAGACAAAAACAAGTTGAACTTGAATGAGTTTTCGCGATTACTGCTACCTTTGAAAGTGCATAACTTCAAATCTAGAAAAGCTATTAACTTGATTTTTTGTCAAGATTTAAAAGGTTGGCTTTCCATAGTGATTTTATATGATGAAGACCATTCGAACATTTTAAACACATCAGCAAGGTTTTACCATAAAAATGACGATTTACGAGCATGAAATAGACATTTTGATAAAGAAGATTTTATATAATTTTATCATTTTTTGGGGTAGTTTTGAATTTTCATCTTCCTATGCCTCTGATATAAATGACTAAATAATAGGTAGATAGTATGGATGTAAAAATGCTTTTGAAAGTCCATTAGGGTACTATTTACCAAGTTACATGTATATACATATATGTGTGAAAAATCAACATAACACTGATTTCATCTATAACAGCATTTATATAACAGAAAAAGCCTATAATAGTGATATATTTGAATATTCTTTGTAGCTGTTGCTACAAAAACCACAACCTAACAAGTTAGAGATTTTTTTACATATAACTTTAGATATTTCTTACATTTGCACCATTCATCAGCTAGTGCATTGTGCAAATAATGAGTGAATATACAATTTTTATTTTTATACACTTATATTAATTTCTTTTTACAATTTGTTATTACAATTTGTTGTAAAAACATATATAATCTTGTAATTACATTTTCACAATGTTAAATCAATAATATTTATCAAAATTTTCTCAATCCCTAAACATGTGCTAATATTGACTATCTTGCATAGTGGATAAATAGACCAACTACTAGAGAGGCAAGTTTTTGCTTGCATGTATAAACCCCAAATCTACAAAAATGCTTTCTTTGTAAATGAAACTTATTCATGCAAGCCAATAATTTTGATTATAGCAAGAATTCAAAACTACTAATTTCAAACTAACAAGCATTTATTTAGGACAAGAGGGTAAGATAACACTAGAAATGAGTTTATCCATCATTTTGTGTTTATCACATCTTTAGAGTTTCACACATTATTTATTTATCCTCTTAAAAACAACATGATATTGAATATTTCATATGTCTAAGACCAAGGCCTTGATGTTTAGAGATCACCTCTCAGATTGCTATTATTTGTTTTCAAGTCTTACACAGGCAATTAGTACTACAAAGATTCTTTACAGGAAAAAACTAAGAAACCCATGCCCATTGGTCACTGCACTTCATTCATTATAAAATTCTCTAAAGACTCTAAAGAATTTGCAATGATGCTGCATTTACATACAGTTTTTGCATTGAATCTGTAAAGAATATTCTTTGCAGAAATGTTAATGAGAAAAATACAAATGTCTTTTCTACAATGATTCTTTAATGGACTTTTGTAAAAATTCATAAAAATAGCCATTCTTAAAGAATATGTGAAGTAGTGAAACGTAGCCAGTGCAGCTGTTGTGATTATTTTAGTTGCCACATTTTACAGAAAATATGGCACTTTTGGTAGAGTATTGTCATACAATGACATTCTCTGTAAAGGTGGAAGACAAGTACAGTACTGTATATAGTGCATAATTTTCAGCACAGATTGTTTGAATATTTTAGATTAATCAACCTCTCTTTTATAGATATATATATTTTATCCTACACTTAGTGTACTAAATCTATAATAACATTAAAAAATAAATTTGATATATATTGGAAAAATGAATAACCGGAGGATATCGTAACGATATACTCTGGGCGGAGGATATTGTGACGATATGCTCCGGAAAACCCAAAATGCGGAGCATATTGTGACGATATACTCCGCTTGTTGATTTCCCGCCAAATTGACTCTATTTGGCATGAAATTCATTTTACAATGATATTATACATTTAGTTCACTCCTTGTAAGTGTAGGATAATAAAAACATCCTATGATTTTTTCAGAATATCATTTTAATCTACACAGTGATATTGATATATGCTCTCGTGCAGATATCAATATCACCTCGTAGATAAAAATAAAAATGATATTCCTCAAAATCATAGGATATGCTATAAATATATATATATGTATTACATACCTAGCGAAGCATTTGTATGGAAGTCAATGGGAAAGTTAGCGAGCTATATCCACCGATATTGCCCGATTACCCCGATATAGCCCGCTTACCTCGTTTTGATATTAGATTTCTTTAATAACCATGATAATATCATGACGTCACGTCATTGATACAAAGTAACCATGGGAACAAAGGCATGTAATACATCAGTTATGTCACTATGACGTGAAATATGCCTTCGTTCTTGCCCAAATATAGAGCCTCCCAAGGTCGGCCTATATTGGGAGAACTCAGGCATATTTCACGTCATAGTGACATAACCTCTAAATATAGATATGGCATGTATCCTTATATCATATAAGATAAAATATGTGTAATAATGCTATACAAACTTGTACATGTGAATTTGTACTAGAATAACAATGATACAAGATAATAAAAATCATATTGCTTGATATATCTATTGCTAATTATATATTCTTGATTGTATACTTGTAAAAGTGATACATTTGTATATTTATTTTTGTTCTTGTTTAAGTCAGGACCAAAAGGAGGAACATTTCTCCTTTTGGCCAACAAACATGAGGCACATATAAAACAGATCTAACTTTAATAATATCCTTGAACTATAAGATAAATATCTTTTCAAATTAAAATATTCTCTCTTATAGATGTACATACCCAAACAAATGCAAACTATATCCATGAAGGACCTTAGCAACTTCAGTGCTAAAATATCAAGAAAGAAAATTTCAATTCTTCAGCTATTTATATGAAGTATTTAAATTCAGTCAACTGAGCTATTGGACACATGTGTAGATTTGCCTCTTTAGCTTCAACAATCTTGTCACCGTTTGACACTTGCGCTTGCATTGTTGGATATTTTCATTCAAAAGAATCTTCCACCATTTTTCTTCTTTGGCCTATTTTTATGTAAAAACAGTAATCAACTTTTAACACCATTCAATGATAGAAAGGATTTAGATAAGCTTGAGTGTCACTATCTCCTTTGCAAAAATTTGGGAGATGAACATTCATTAGAGAGAATACTGTAGCAAATAATATCAGTTCACTCGTTACCCTTTCAATATGGGCCATTTTAGTGTCAGGCATTTTGTCATCTGGCTATCTGTATAGCTTGAGCAGAACATTCTCTATAAACCAAGCCAATCAGTGTCAATGTGATTCTTTAAATGTTCCATTACAGTTACATCTCAGCATTCCATGCACGATGTTGTACAGCTGAACGTCTAGCGCCAGTTTCTTCATAAAATCTCTGTAGTTCTTCTTCTGTATCAAAGATGTTCACATTAAATGGGCTTCCGGGAACATGCACACCCGACCACTTGATACTGACCACATAATCACCAATCTCAGCAGGGTCATAATGACACAAGATTGTGCGATCTTTCTGGCTCTCTCTCTGCATCTCTACATGGAAGGCCCCTGAAATATACATAGCATGATGAAAATAATGTGGAAATACTAGTAATACTGGCAAGGAAATGAGTGAATAAAAGCCAAACTTCCTCTGCATAATTCGACACCATTCAAATTCAAGCAAAAGAACTAGAAAATAGCAACTCCTGCATTAGCATATCCCTCTGATAAAACACATTTTGTCAAATTCACTTGTCATTTTAAACATAAAGTGTGATTACACAAATCAGGAAACATGATCACAATAAGACCACCATGGGATATTTCATTCATATAGAAGACCATAACAATACATGTTGAAAAATAATTGAAAACAAATACTCTTGATATCAAAAACAGTTGCAGATACTTATGTTGTGCTACTCACACAATATATAAAGCATTCAGGCTCAAATGATGTGGGCAGACAGAATCCAGTCATAAAGCCCATTAGCAAAGGGTCTCCTTTTGGCAAAATATTCATCCATGACGAACATGACAGCATTGGGTTTCTATACTCAAGTGTCTCTTGAAAAGCCTGTCCATGCCATACATGTAAGGCAATAGCACATAAATTGGATTTATCAAAGGTTGAATTGTTTATGAAAATACTGGCCATTTTGAATCATGCAGCCATACTGGATGTTCCTTCCCAAGAAGAGGCCCCATCTTCCTAAGGCATCAGCAGAGAAACTACAAAAATCTCACCTTTTGGTCCCCTGATTCTAACAGTCAATTGTCCTGCTCCAGCGCCTCTTGTCTCTACAATAAATCTGCTCTGATATTTGGCCAGAATTCCATGCTCGATTCCAGGTCCTGTTACCCTCACCTTGGAGGCATCAGGCGCTCCTGAGATGCGCAGAGTATAAGGGCTCCCTAGAAATAAAACAATCATATTAAATAATGTACACAGTAAAATTAATAGTTTATGCTTGTATGGCACTCTGTTGGGTTGTAGTTGTACTAAGCACAAACTGAAGGCACTGAATGTCACATGACCTATCATTATTTATTCTTTGATAATTAAACTTGATAATGAAAGAACACCTATAACATAATATACTTCGCTGATCAAATTCTTGCAATTTTTAATTATATTTTACAAATTATAATTACGATCATTTTGGCATTATTTATTTACTTTTGTCAAAAATGAGAGTACACAAAATTACCGTGAGTTCAGTCTTATATAATTTACCATGCTTTGATGAAAATATGCCGCACTTTCTTTTTTCACAAACTTCATAAAATTAAACAACATCTCGAAAGCATTGAATTGATTAATCCTACAGTGTAACTCATTGCTGGCCAAAGCTATTTTTGGAGGTTTTCTGCTGGTGACTGGCAATTTTGATGGAAAATTGAGAAAAATTGCACATAAGTATTGCACGTAGTTGCTGTAATGATGGCTAAAATGACAGAAAATAAAAAAAACGGATATAATTTTTTGCTGATTTTTTGTAACAAAATTATTTCAAGCCACTTGCCACTATTTGGACTGACTGAGAGACAGATGGACAAATGGTAAAATGGCTGAAAAAAAAACGGATATAATTTTTTGCCAATTATTTGTTACAAAATTATTTCATACAACTACTTTTTACAGCGACATGGCTTTTTGCAATGCAGGACACCTGAAATTATTTGTAAAGCTAAGAAATGGGCCAAAATTGAAATTCGAGAGACAAGAATAGCGACCATTTTGAAAAAATGCGAGCTTTTGAACCAAGAGTCAAAGGAGAGTTTTGTTGTATTGATGTTGAACAAAATTAACTTAAAACAGGAATCCTATCGACAAATCAATGTTGACTAAAATGGCTGAAAATAAAAAATGGATACAATTGTTTGCTGATTTTTCGTAACAAAATTATTTCATACATCTACTCTTGACATGGATTTTTACAATGCTAGGAAATGGGCCAAGCTAGGAAATGGGCCAAAAGTGAATTTCGCGAGACAAAATGGTGGCCATTTTGAAAATAGGTGAGCTTTTGAACCAGGAGTCATAGGGGAGTTTTCTGTATTGATGTTGAACAGAAATAACTTAAAGCAGGAATCCTATCGACGGAGGTTTTAGAACGTGCTACTGTTGTTGACGGAAAAGTGGATTTCACGAGTCAGATGGACAAATCAATGTTAACTAAAATGGCTGAAAATAAAAAAATGAATATAATTTTTCGCTGATTTTTGTAACAGAATTATTTCATATATCTACTCTTTACATTGACATGGATTTTTACAATGTAGGACACCTAAAATTATTTGTAAAGCTAGGAAATGGGTCAAAGGTGAATTTCTTGGGACAAAAATGGCGGCCATTTTGAAAATAGGCGAGTTTTTGAACCAGGAGTCATAGGGGAGTTTTCTGTATTGATGTTGAACAGAAAACAGGAATCCTATCGACAGAGGTTTTAAAACGTGCCACTATTGTTGACGGATGGACGCACACACGGACGGACAGACAGACGGACAAGTGAGTGATTGCAAAAGCTCACCATGTGAGCTAATAAAAAACACGGTATTTTAAGTAATGTTGACTGATTGACAACAATTTAATGCGAAAAATTATTTAAGGAATAAAGATCAAAATTTTATGATTTATGGCATGATATATGACCAAACATTTTATTCTGTTCATTGTTAAAAGACCAAAATCGCATAGTGATTGAGGTCTTTGGCAATGACCAGAATAAAATTTGAGGTCATACTCGTATTTGTCAAGAATCATAAAATCGAGGTCTTTGTTACGATTCTAATATGATAAACAGACAAGAAACACAACTATTTGCATTTATGAATTTTAGCGGTCATACATACTCCAATATAGAACAGAAAATCAATTGTTCTAGTTATTGTGACGTCACATACCATGTTAGAATTAGAAATATTTTATAAAACTGTTTTTTGTTAACATTTTTTGTTTTTTTAGTTCAATTGTTTTTGCTCCTTTCTACCAATTCTTGAGAATGAAATAAAATGTCATTCCGAACCTTGTTGGAACAAAATAGCATATACAACATGTTTTTAAAAAAGTATTAAAAAATTAAAACAAAATCCCCCCAAAATAAATAAACCTTTTATTTCATTAACAAGATACTTTTTAAAATCAACCAAAATTTCCTTTGTACAATTACAATATTGAGAGACCTAAACATGTTGTGTTTATGTCGTTTTGTTCCAATGAGGTTCGGAAAGATGTTTCATTTCACTCTGGAAACATAATACCAAGAACAAAATAAGTGTTTGATGTGTTTTCTAAAACAATATAGGTGATTTTATATTATATTTATATTATATATTATATTAAATTATATTGTTACCATTCAAAAGATGACCATTAAATTGACGGTGTGTAAAATTTTTAGATTTTTATGACTGGTTTAAGAGAAACGTGTGTTCAAAAAGTATATTGATACCACTCCTTTATTCGAAACAAAATGCATGTAACTCAAGTTTGCTTCTAACTTACCTGGAATGTGAACATCATCATATTTGACTTGTAGTGTGTGTTTGCCAGCTTCCTGAGGCTTTACATTCAGGGTGAATAAACCATCCCTGTGGTCATACAGTTCACAGTAGGCCACCTTGGTGGGTCCGGTACAGTGGGCAGTCAGTTGACCTGGGTGAATAAGTAAATAATTTGAGTTTTTTTTGAGATGGCTGTTAAAATATTTATTAATTCCTTTGGATTCTCCTGAGCTACTTAACCTAACAGAAAATTCAAATAAATCAAAATGAGATGTAACATTTTTAAGGACAAAAGGCAATCGCATAGAAGTTGGGCAATCGCATAGAAGTTGGGCAATCGCATAGATGTTGGGCAATCGCATAGAAGTTGGGCAATCGCATAGAAGTTGGGCAATCAACAAATAAAGTCCTTTACTCAGGTGATGAATTAAATATATTTATAACTTTGAGTTTGGAGCTGTATTTAGGAGATGAGTTCCAAACAGTGTTCCTACGACCTTTCTTTAACCCCTTGATTGATTTTCTCCCATTTGTCGTACATGTAATCTTATCAACATTGGGTGTCAATTTTAAATGGAACGGGGCATGTATATTTGATTTTTACTTTGATCAAATAATCTTATAGTATTTGATGACTTAAAGTATGTCATATATGCAAGATAAATGTATTCATAATCCATCTCTACAATATTTCAATAATATTTCAACAACAGAGTGTTGATTGGTCAAGCTTATTATATCTTATATATTTAAATCCTAGCTTAGGTTCTCAGCACTTCAAACTCAACTTTGCATTCGGAAGCAACATTCCTGATTACAGCACTTTAAACATGTATACATACCAGGTCCAGCACGTCTTGTGTCAATCTGTGATCGGATCTGTTGCCCCATAATTCCCATTTTCAAGCCATCACCTGATGCAAGGACCTTAGTGGCATCACTCAGTGAATTCACACTCACCTAAGGGTTATCAGTAAAAGTCATGTGAATACTCTAGTTTTACACAATGTCCATTTAACGCATTCAAATTCAATTAATAATAGATAGTACGGATGTCACGGGACAAAAATGTTTCGGGATGGGAATTATCTATTTCGGGATGGGACATTTGGGATGGGACGGGACATAACCAATAAAATAGTTCAACAACTCACATTTTCCGTCTACTTCCAGTTATGCTTATGCAGCGCGGATCTTTTGAACGTCATAAGAGGGCTGCATATATTGCGCAAAAACTTGTAATCTGATATTAATTTTAAGTTGTTACCTTTCTCACCGATGAAGTTCTTTGTTATTGTTTAAATACAAAGGGAAACACATTTACGCATGAACATAATCCAGCAGATAAGTTGTTTTAGATAAGTTTAGTTTAGATCATATTTATCATGCATTTGGGAGGTTTTAGGGTCATATGCAGGAGAAATAGTATATCCTGAACATGGACCAAAATCTTCGGTACACGAGGGTTGTCCGATCCCGTCCCATCCCGAGACCAAAGTCCCGAAAGACGGGACAATATCGAGAAACCGTGACATCCCTAATATATAGAGCTTGATAAGAACTCCAATGCAAAGATTGAGAATGTTTTCTTTCATGTATTCTTCTATTGGAAAGTTGAGACTTTTTGAAAAAGCTGTTTCCAACCATTTGACAGTAAAAGTTGAAATAGAGAATGGTGGTAGAAATGTAAGAGTTGGTTTAATACAAACAAAGGGTGGGTGGCAACATAACTGCAGACATGCAGGCTAGAAATATGCCTCAATGTCACCTTGGATTTTAAAATGCTTCTAAATATGTAGAACTCACCTTGAATGGGGAGCCATGTACTCTGTGCTCAGACCACTTGATGTTCAGGAGGTAAGCACCTAAAACCATGTTTCATAATATTATACTCTACATTTCTAAGACATTTACATGCTACAGGAACTAATCTGACATTAGTTGAGGAAATCCTTCCAATTTAGCATCCATTTGTATTTTATGGCAATAATGAACTTGCAATTCATGTTAGTTTGAAGGTATTTCTTTAAACCATCTTTTTTGGCAGATGGCTTAGTGTTAATAGCTAGCTCTAAATCTGGAGCTCAGTCTATGCTAGACTCTCTCTTTGATTTTTGTGAAAACATCAACTGCAACACTTGCAGTTTATGGAGTGCTGGGTCGTTATTTCCCCTTAGTCTGTGTTTTGATATTCAACTTATTAAATATTGGATACGACTTTTACAACTTTGTCCAGATAACCTCCTTTATAAAGCATATTTATATGATTATGTAATGTACAGTTTAGGATTTAAAAATACTTGGTCAAGTAAGGTTTATAACATTTTAAAAGATTGTAATCTCCAAAGCACTTGGAATGAACAAGTTGTTGAGGATGACTATGTGTTTATAAAGAATCTAACTAAAACATTGCACCAAAATTATAAGGAAAAATGGAAGTGTGATTTTCAATTATATCCAGTTTTAAGAACATATATTAAATTTAAAACAACTTTTGAAAGAGAGCAATATTTAAGCCTACAAAAAAATCAACAATCATTTTCACAACTGAGATTAAGTTCACATAAGTTACAAATAGAACTGAGTAGACATGTGGAACCACGACCAAAACCTGAGTCTGAAAGATTATGTAAAGTTTGTGGGGAAATAGAAAATGAAGTTCATTTCATGATTAATTGCCAAATACTGTACATAGAGAAAATAGGAAAATATTGTTTGACAACATCAAAAGCAAAATCAATATAAATCAACATCATCCTGAAAATGCATTCATTATGTTCATTTCTTCAAAAGATAAATATGCTCAGAAGCAAGTTGGAAAGGTTATCACAAAATCATTCAAAAACTTAAACTTGCCTGGAGATTAGCATTTTGGGTGCATCACACGCAAAGTACAGGGTGTCCCGAAAGTATGGGGCCCCCCCTAGGCAGACATATTCCAGTGTCCTCATAGTATGTGTCATATATCATATTAAAGCTTGTCCAAAGTTACATTGATTTGCCAAGTATCATGGTTTAACTCCCAAATGGGAAAAAGTTACAGTCATTTTAAAAGTTAGTGTTTTGTCAAAATAAAGTTCGATTTCACACCACATTACTAGTCAATGTGTCCCCCTTGGCCATGTTAACAGCAGCAATTATTTTCAGATATGACCTCAAAAGCCTTTCAAATAGGAGTGTGGAATTTTATAACCCTCGTAAAACCTGTTAGGGGACTTTAGAAGAGTTTTCTTAGAGTTTCTACCCTCACTGTTATCGTTTTCAAACTCAATATCCATCCGACCCGAAAAGGATTGCTGCTGTTAAGATGGCCCGGGAGGACACATTTACTAGTGATTTGGCATAAAACTGAACTTAATTTTGACCAAACACTAAATTTTGAAATGCCTGTAACTTTTTCACATTCGAGAGTTGAACCATGATACTTGGTGAATCAATGTAACTTTGGATATGCTTTAAAATGATATATGACACTTACTATGACGACACTGGTATATGTCTGTCTAGGGGGGGGGGGGGGGGTGGGGCCCATACTTTCGGGACACCCTGTATATTGTAACATATGTAAATAAGGTTTCTTTGTATAAATTGTCTGTATTATAATAGCTTAGACTAAGTGTAGTGTAGTGTAGTACAATGTTTTTTTTTATTTTGTAATGACTAATATGTCAGATCATGACATCTAAAGAGTCAATAAAAGATATATATATATACTGTATAAAATAGCAATAATTTTGTTTTCTCTGCAATTAATTAATCACAGTGATGAAAAAACAGTTGAAAATCTTTTTCTGGCTTTCAAAATGATTATTTGGTATTCAACCTTCTCTGATGATTGTGCAATCAGACCTCTGTTATTAATACATCACTTATCTCAAGGTTAATCTCTTATGTTTTTAACATTTTATTCATTGTTCATACCTGGGTTGTCTGCTCTGTAAGTACATCTGTACCTGCCTGCACCCAGTGACTGCACATTCACAGGTGGGTTGCTACTTGTTCCTTCAAGTGTAACTATGGGCTTGCCTGAAATTAGAGATGTGGTGTGTCAAATCAATATGTGGCCTGCCAGATTAACAAACTTGATCAAATATATACAAGTGCTGTAAATAGTAAATTCTATAGATCCGAATAGTTTTTTTTCAACAGTTAACCAATTTTTCCAAAGTATTAGATAGTTTATTTTATTTTACCTGGTCCAGCCTGGGATCCATCAATGATAAACTCTGCCTCTTCTGAAACACTAGCCTCCTTCAGGCCCCTCCCTGTCAGGATAACCTTGGTGTGGTCCACTGGTGAGCTGGCAGGTTGGGCATAGCCCTGAAGTGGTGATTTTGGAAGTGGGATGTCTGCCCACATAACCTTCACATAATGCTCTCCTGTAAGTATGAAATAGAAAGTAATAGAAAGTTATCACAAATAATGGAGGCTGCAAAACAATTTTGTTTTAATAATCTATAATGTTTTATACATGATTAATTTTCTTTTCACAGGGTCCCTGGCAATTATTTCGTTTTCGTATTTCAATATTCCTAGAACAACGCCAAATACTGGTATGTTTTTATTCAAGCTGATATCATAATTCCAAGAGTCGTGGAACAAGAAAATGCAGAAAACTCCTCGTAGTCAAGATCTCCAAGTCAAAAGGTTGCCCAGCCAAGGCCCTGATACCATCGGTTAATTATCCCAATTGTTTTATTTTATGATAACTTATTCCGACTGTTCATAAAAAACCAAAGAGCAAGGCACTGAACCAAACCATATGCTTGTTTGTTTTGTTCAGGTTTTGTTGGTTAGGTAACACGCCTATGACGTCACAAATGATAGAAGAAACTTTAAACCAATCACTGAGGTCTCGATTGTTTAATTGTTTAGTTGTTGATTGGGCAATACATGTCTGACGTCACAGATGACTTGGAATGTGTATCACACCATTTTACGAAACTTAATTTAGCTAATTTTGGCTTCATTTGCATGGAGGACTTTTAAAAATATAATAATGAGTCAGTATTCTGAAAAAGAATTATGTTTGAATTTGAGGTTAAACTCCAAAAAATTGATTGATGGATTAAAATCAAGGTGGAAAGAGGTAAAGAAGTGAATTATTACAGATGCAAACACGATCAATGGTTTGAGATCTCCCGCAAAGTAGTAGCCGACGTTCCTACTGTGCGACTGTGTGGAATGTGTCCCATTGTCATGTCATGTTTTAATATAGATAATAGAGATCAAGTTCTATTTTTTTATATTTACTCTTCATAATTCATGGACGCCTCCAGTTTTTATGACCGCATTGACATTTTACTGTAGAAGGTTGAGATCCGGATTGAGATGTGACAGTTGAAAGCTTCCTGCATCCAGTGATGAATACTAATGAGCCAGAGTGTCAATATGGCAATTTGTAAATATAATCTATTAAATGATTAATGAACTTGATGACGTCCTGAATGCAGAGTCACCCACAACAGCTGGATTATCTTTACATTTCATATCTATTCATAGCTCACTCCTCAGTCACATTTGATCTATGGCAGCCATAGGTTCCCAATATTGAAATATGCAGCATAAAATATGAGGGATAAGCAATACAATGTAGATTTTCTATATTGATTTTGTAAAGCTACCGCCACCGTACACCTGCCATAAAGCAAATGTGACGGAGGCTTCAGCATACAAGAAAATGTTGCTGCATTGCAAGAGCCTGTATGTCGTACATGTCAGTAACAGGAAATGTCAATGTAAGCATAAATGTACATGCCCATATTCTATCGTATATGTACACATTCTGTACATGTGAAAATCATATGATTTATACATGCATGGATACTCACCCTGAATTCTAGGAATAAAGCTGACAGAAACTCTTCCATCTGGTCTGTCAGTGACTGAGCAAGGAACTCCTCCATCTGGTCCATTTACCTCAGCAGTCAGCTTCCCTGGTCCAGCCTCTTGGGTATCAAAGCTGATATGTTTCTCTTCCCCAACCTACAAACAAAGTGGCAAATAATTAAAGTATTCAAGTTTATGCCATTCCTTATAATATATGAGCAACCTCAAACATATTTAAAGAGAATCATGGTTGAAAATTGTGATGTAATCAAAGGTTATCCCAAAAAAGAAGGTGATATCTGTCGAGGTTTTTAAGATAATTGTCAGACGTACACACAGACTGAGTGACAGACACCCCTAGGCCAACAATATGGCCCCACACTACTAGAGTATGTGGTGGGGACATAAAAAGGAAATACGATTGTTGTCCATACCTTCAGCGCTATCCTGTTGTTGGCATCAAGCAGACTCTGCCAGCCTCCAGTCACATGGACCTTGCGTGCATCAAATACCTTTGGGTGGAATGGACTTCCTGAAATCATAATGAATAAAGATATAAGATCTGCTCTCATGCAAACAATAGTCAAGTGAGTGGGAAAGGTGTAGAACAAGGCACAGACGTGAACAATATCGTACCTAAAACACAGCATTGTGGTCTTGTTGACCAAGAAAGCAAGATGGCCGCAGAAAATTTAATCAGCTCTAGAACTTATCACTGTGTAACATATGTAAAAATTTGAACGGTTTGGCTGGAAACCTGTAGACAAGTCTTGAAAGTGAAGATTTAAGGATGGAAAATCCAAAATGGCCTCCTTTAGATTTACCCAGAATGCCCAAAAACTAATCAGTTCTTGACGTTGATATGTAGAAACATCCCTGAAAATTTCAGATGAATCCCTCAAATGGTTTGGCTGGAAACCTGTAGACAAGTCTTGAAAGTGAAGATTTTAGGATGGAAAATCCAAAATGGCCACCTTAAGATTTACCCAGAATGCCCAAAAACTAATCAGTTCTTGACGTTGATATGTAGAAACATCCCTGAAAATTTCAGATGAATCCCTCAAATGGTTTGGCTGGAAACCTGTAGACAAGCTGAAAAGTGAGACGCCGCCCGCCGCCCACCCGCCCGCCCGCCCGTCAAGCAGACTACAATATCGTACCTCTTGTTAGGTACGATAAAAACACCCTTCTTTGGTTATATTACCCATGAAACTGATTAAGTATGTATGTAGTGATCCTAGTGTCAGTTATATTTGATTCTTTCAGTTTACAATAAAGAGATACATATATACACCCCCAAAATGCAATCTGATTTTCGACGCCGTTTCGGTGCCAAATTTCGGTGCCGTTTCGGCATCAAATGGACTGACTAGTCCGGTAGCAAATTTTTGTGCCTAAAGGTTTCGGTGCCGGAACGGTGTCGAAACGGTGCCGGAACAGTACCGAATTTTTTCGATGCCGAAACGACGTCGAATTATATTGGCTGTGTATTTGATTATTTCCATGTTTCACTGCAAGCTATTCTGTCGGAAATAATGAACCCAAGCATTTAGCAAACCACAGGCTCCATTAACTGACTTTACCCGCATACAAATAATATTGACACCATGGTCATATTTTCAGATGCAAAAAATCTTAATAACTAACCAGAACAACGGCAACGCCAAAGCGTAGCGAATCCCATCGAACATTTTTCAAAACAGGCACCTTCTACCAAAAGTGTCATTAGACAGTGTGCCATGCTTATAATATTCACATACCAAATATGAACAAAATCGCTCCACTACTTTTCGAGTTATAGTAAAAAACGTTAAAATGGCGGCCATTTTTCAAAATGGCCGCCTTCTACCAAAAGTGTCATTAGACAGTGTGCCATGCTGATATGTATTCACGTACCAAATATGAACAAAATCGCTCCACTACTTTTCGAATTATAGTAAAATAAGTTAAAATGGCAGCCATTTTTCAAAATGTCCGCCATTTTTCAAAATGGCCGCCTTCTACCAAAAGTGTCATTAGACAGCGTGCCATGCTTACAGTATTCACATACCGAATATGAACAAAATCGCTCCACTACTTTTCGAGTTATAGTAAAATACGTTAAAATGGCGGCCATTTTGAAAAATGACCGCCCTCTACCAAAAGTGTCATTAGACAGTGTGCCATGCTAATACGTATTTACATACCAAATATGAACAAAATCGCTCCACTACTTTTCGAGTTTTAGTAAAATAAGTTAAAATGGCGACCATTTTTCAAAATGTCCACCATTTTTCAAAATGGCTGCCTTCTACCAAAAGTGACATTAGCCAGTGTGCCATGCCTATAGTATTCACATACCAAATATGAACAAAATCGTTCCACTACTTTTCGAGTTACAGCAAAAATCGTAAAATAACGAGTAAAGGCCGCCATTTTTCAAGATGGCTGCCATGTGCTTTTTTAATATCTACATTTCTAGCTTTATTAATGTCCTATATAATTTTTTTACATTTAAAACATATTGCTATGACAGTTTTACATATTGCACCTAAATTACTGTAAAATCGGCACTAAAATGGCCGCCATTTTTAAATGAGCGGCCATTTTGAAAATCGGCTTTCGAGCAGAACTTCTACCCCCATAGGGTATATGTGTACAAAATATGAATAAAATCGGGCCAACGGTATTTGAGTTATTGCCCGGACGGACGGACAGACGTACGTACGGACGGACGGACGGAGGCGTTCCCTATATCCCTCCGAACTTCGTTCGATGGGATAATAACTAGGCATAAAATCAACACAACAGTGTACAGATTGTCAGAAAATTCAATAAATTTGAGAGAGGAACTGAGTGGAATTAGCATGAGCAGATAGACATTTCAGGTATGGTAATTCATGATTAATTTCATTGGCACATGTGTAGCATGTATTTCATGTACACTTTACAACATCTGGTTAAACAAAGCACATCGTGAAGAATCAATATAAAACCAGACTAATTAATAATAATAGATTGCATTACAAAATACTTTTCATGATTTTCATCTGTTAGCTTAACTGAAACTTAACGAATATTTCAGTATAATATAGCCATTCTTTAAGAGATCACCAAATTATTGAGAATTCTTGTATAAGGTGGTAGTTTTCGATTTTCGAAAGCACAAATAAGATAAATGATACAATAGTTACAATCTTCATGAAAACCATTTCAAAGTGACACATTGAAAAACTATTTTTGCACAAATTCTGAACAAACAAGTAGTGGCACTCTAAGTTGACATTAACTGAGTTCATATTCCTTACCTGGTATTTCTCTGTCATTCCACTTGATTGTTGCATCAAACAGCCCAACCTCAACTGGAACATATGTGACCACGTAGCGGTCACGCTCCTGCCCAATGTTGCACTTTGCTATAGAGTTGGGTCCTGAATAAAACAGAAAAAATATGTTTTCCGTTTGAGGTTCATCTAAGGACTACAATGTCTCTATGTGGCACTACATATGTAAAAATAAATGGGAATGTATAAAAGTAAGAGTGGAATATACAACAAATAAAGCAATTCTGCTTTCCCCTGAATCAGCTTGGCACAATCCAGTCTCAAATAATAATAAATATTTTCTCTGGATTACAGTATGTTCAATCACAACTTTCTGATGGCATTTCTTTCAGGATCATAAATTCCATTCTCTTAAAGAACGTAAAAGATTGAGAGGCACTCATTATTTTCTAATTAAAGCTAATTATAGATAATTATAATGACTACAGTGAGATTGATCATGTATATGGAGAATGGACCGTACTTCTCCCAGAATTAAAACAAATGATTTTTTAGAAACTGACACGTCAGCATGTCAATTGGTCAAGCCAGCTCATTTGACTTTACAAATGCCTCATAGATGCATTCAAACATTAATGTGAATGAACCACCCATTATTGTCACACAAGTTACATGTATTAACTTTCAATTGAACATTGATTCGAAAGCCATCACATGATATATGATGATATATATAACTTGTAAAATAAGAGAAAGGTCATTCAGGATCTCTATATTTTGAATATTAAGTTTAAATATAAAATGGAATACAACATTGCCACGTAACAATTGTTTTTAATGACCAATTTTTCATCTCATATTAATTATACTTTCCTATTACTGGCAAACTCTAGGATGTCTAGTGATTAGAGGGTTAAAACATATAGACTGACTCAAGCTGGCATAATTGACATTTGTGTATAAAAGTATGTGCTATATATAAGCAATATAACTCTCAGTATAACCTGACCTGTACAATTAATTTATAGGCAATATATTATGGGTACCAACAATCAACCTCACACTTTCCACATTCTACAATACCATAAGGATATTTGTTGCCTTTAAAAGAATTACAAGTATATAAAATATAAACATTTATTATGCACCTCGTCATTAAAATACTCAAATCTGATTGGTTAAGAGCTGCAGGGTCTATTGCCATATGTGGCAGCAAGATATCGTTCTATCCTATATTGAAGCAACGAGATCTCCAACCATCCCGTATGCCAGAATACCTATCCTCGAAAAAAAAATACTAGGCTCGGCTTCTGTTTTAGTAGACCCATTCTTTTATTTATCTACAGTAAATTAATGGTAGGAATATGATATTAACCAAGGGAGGTGCATAATAAAATAAATACTGGTGACCATGAGGTGGATATGCCAGAATACCTATCCTCGAAAAAAAATACTAGGCTCGGCTTCGCCTAGTATTTTTTCCTCAGATAGCTATCTAACTTCAATGGTATCATTTGTAAGTCAACTAGCTGAATTAAGTTCTATCAATATGATCAATGAACCATAGCCTATGTAATATGAGCCCAATCCTAAATAAATATGATGACTCGATTCCCTTCAATAAATGAGTAAATCACGGATGATTGACAATTGCACACCCTTGTTGGAAATAGAACTTACCATCAACAGATACAGAAAGGGAACCTCTAGAGCCATGTGTGTTGACAAAGAATGTTGCAGGCTTGTCCTCCTCTCCTCTGTAGAGACCATCACCTGATGCTGTGATCATACTGGCATCTGTAACATTCTGGTTCAATGGGCATCCTGAAAATAAAGAAAGTCACATTAGAATCTAGAAATTTGGAATTTTCTAAAAGTAATACTTGGAATTAACATGCAAAATTTCACCACCCGCCATTTGTTACAGACACTGAATGCTATCACAACAAAAGTTGGAGACCATAACAATATGTCAGTACTTGAATAGTCCAATGGTGACACAAAAATCAGATGTTGCATTGTGCATCTCTGCCTCTAAGATCTATTTTCCCAGATGAACTGAGGAGAGCACAAAGAGACAAAGGGACTAATGCTAAACAAACAAAACAGATAGGCTCAAATATTTATGCAAGTGAATTAAAACTGAAATGTTTGTTATTCAAGCTATTTTGATAGATACTATGATGAATTTATTTTGAGGTATAGAAAGGTACTTAAAATGACTCAAACCACAACATAATTATGGTTGTTTACATGTGCGTTTATTACTTATTTGTATTATTAATACAGAGAAGGTGAAATACAGGTGCACTCAACACAAGCACATGTCCAGCACATATACTTTAAGGCGGATTTTGTAGAGGGAGACTGTTATGATTAAGGATTAAAGAGAGGGAATAACAGACATCTTTTGACATTTCTTTGTTGAAAAATCATACATGTGCATTCAGTAAAACCTGTCTAATCTGAACACCTCTGGAACCAGCCAAAAGTGTTTAGATTAGTATGTGTTCACATTTCAAGGTCTTATAAGCATGCAAGTCAGTGAGAGAAAGTAAGGGACTGAGAAAAAGTGTTCACATTGAGTACATATGCCCTTTTGTTTAAACTATTTACCTTGTGCTGAAATTAATTTGCATTAACATTTCTTGCATTGTATTTCTCTTACCCAAGAGTCCTACTACTGTGACAGCTTGGAATAAAATAATATAAAACATTAGAATGACCAGATATAGGCATTGCAATATTATTCATTTGTATGTTTAAATATTGTTGGATATGAGGGAAATAAACCACTTTTCACGGTGGCAATACACATTTTAATTTAATATGGTTGTAATTAATTATATACATTAATTAGTGATATTCAAGGTGACACAACAAAGAAACTTATCAATCAAATCTCTACAAACTATATGTCTTACTTTGCTTGGCTTTGATTCTGTTGATAGTTCTCTTTAAAGAAGGACAGCCAACCTGACTAGATACTGATGCATTTCCATTGCCACACCTTAGACAACATTTCAAATGATTCAGAATGCCTTTTTCCTGAAGATAAAGTGGTGTTACACTGGTGCTGTCAAGTTGTTGGCGGTAAAGACTCTTAATGTCACTAGTTGCTGAACTCATGTTTCCACCACGAACATACTGAATTACAGATTTTTCAAATTCATCAAAATTACATGAAAATTCTGTTTCTGAGTCGGAGTTTTTATCACATGAACCTTGGCCATCAATGTCAGTTGTTTCATGATCAGAATCAATGTGAAAGTATGTGTGTACACTTTGGACACTTTCAGATGCTTGGGACATGTGAGAGCGAGATTCATTCTTTTTGAAATAGCGTCCTTTAGGTTCAGGTTCGGGTATTGGACTGTATGAAGATTTGTTTTTTCTACCCTTTTTCTTCTTGGTCATCAGTGGTTTATTTGATTCATGATCACTTACTTCAAAGTCACTTCCATATGCATCAGTCTTTTCCTTCTGGTTGCTAAATAAACCCTTTTTATTCAATTTGGGACTTTTATTGAATCGTTTGAGCAAAAAGTGGCGTTTCTTGATCATATGACCAGCCTCCTCATAATCTACACTACGCTCAGATTTTGTCACCTCTTTTGGACTTTTACTTTTGTTTCGCTTAAAAAACAATCCCTTTCTCTCTTTTTTAGGGCTTTTATGAGGGTCTGATTTTGGTCTTATATCTTTTGGTGGCACTTTAGACCATGGTGTGTCTATTTTATGCTCATCCTGAGGAAAACGTCTCAGTCTTAATTTATCATGCTTTCCTCTAATCTTTCGGCTAGTTGCACTCCAAGTATGATAAATCGTAAGTCTATCTGTATCCCCTTCCTGGTCAGGACGTTTATTGAAACGTGCGCTTTGTCTAAATGGCATAAAACTGTTATCATTTAAGCCACTCTCTTCAAGCATTGTGCTACCATGGCGGTTATTAATTCCCATTGTTTTGATAAGTTCCTCAACATCATTTCCATGTTTGTGGAATGACGTAGGGAATGGAACAGTGATACGATTATTAATGTTATGGAAGTTATAACCACTGGAGTGAGGTGAATGATGTAATTTCTCAACTTCTGCCCCCTCTGGTGGGATCCTGTCCCCTGTGTGATTGTACTCTGGATTCCATGTTTCAGATTTAGGGGGTGGATATGTCTTATAACCATAAAACTCATTATGGGACATCCCTGTTGATACAGTCAAGTCATCAATCGATGTATCTGATGTGATACCGGATTCAAAATGACTGGTCCCAGATTCAAGTTGGCGTCGACTTGGATCAATTTCTGAATAAATTGGTTCATTACTAACATAATCATCATCATCCTCCATTATCATCAATCCATTAGTATGTGCATTCTTCTCATTACTATGAGCCATTGATCTGTTATTATAGGATATTAATCTGGAATGTTCACTAATTTTATGATAATTATCAACTGATGATGCCTCAGATTCCAGGCAACCATTTTGCTGTTTCCAATCATTGCTAGGTACCCAGTCATTTGGTTTTGGGGCTCTCTCATAATGTCTGTTGTAGACTTCAGGGGTACTCTCATAAAGTCTATTTGACATAAACTCTGCTTCACGTCTGCGTTGCTGATCATCATATGACTCATAAAGACTGTTACTTGTTAAACTGACATGCTTTGGTCCTGAGAATACATCATTTGGTGCATAGAGACAGTAGTCATCATCTGGGTTACTGTGTGGATTAGAATAACTAACATTATCCGGATCATTCACAGATTGTTTCCTCTTTGTATTGAATGAGTTTCTTGCTCCGTATGCATCCCTTTGTTTGAGATATCCACGTTTAAATACTGGGGTTCCATCTGGGGAGTTGGGGTCACCACCCATGGCTAGTTTACTGAATGGAATTCGTGGGAGGCTCAATTTCTTTTGAAATAGTGGCTTGTATTGTTGAGATATATCATCTTCTAGACCATGTTCAACAGATTTTGAATGTCCCTTATATGAATCTAATTCTTTGTCAACATGCCTTTTTCTGTTATGTGACATATCTTTGTTGTCATTAACGTGCTCACTATAGGAACCACTACATTCCTCTGTGATGGCAGGCTGTGAATCTATAACAGAATAACTCCCAGAAAAAGGAGTATTGCCCATATTTGTTGTTTGTTGGAACTTCACCTGTTGCCTTCTATCAAGGCTTGACAGCTCTTGTCCTAAAGGTGGTATCCTTTCAAATGAATCATTCCTTTTACATTCTTTTACTTTAGTATTTCTATCAATACTTATAGGATTTTCAAATAAATGTTTGGTTTTGTTCACTTGAATACTAGATTCAATGGGAGATTCAATAAACTCTGCATCTTGAGCAATTTCAAGTCCATGAGGATCAGGTTCATCCTGCTCCTTATTATTTTCAATTTGTAGTTTTTCTGATTCACTGCCTACAGTTTGTGTTAAAACTCTATTATTTCTCTGATTTGCTTTATTATCTTTCAGATTACAATCAAATCTTGTTAGAACTTCATTTGAATCTTCATCAGCAGGTTTCTCAAATATTATCTTTCTGATATTAATTGATGGATTGTCAATAAGACCTTGGGTTCTATCAATTGAAAATGTTTGACTTTTATTAGTATTTATCTTCTCAAATTCACGAGAATCATGGGTGACACCACTGTAAACTCTTCCCTTGTTAAGTTTAGAAACTTTATGGTTGGTATTGTCTTTATGGCTTTCACTTTGTGATTTAATGATTTTATTAACAGTATTTCTTATTTGAGATGCTTGGTTTACACCATTTTGTATTGTTTTACTTTTATCCTGGTTGTTAGATTTGTCATGTTCATTTGTCTTGTTTATTTGTGACGACTTTGGGAAGGTATTACCTAGATGAGGGGGTAAAGGTGGTGGGGTTGGTATATGGTAACTATGGGTGCATTCTGTTGCTAATGCCAATCCTCCAGCAGCTATAGCGACCCCATCATTAAGTTCAGAATTCTCTAAATTTGCAGATGGAATTAATTGTTGATGCAGATTTGTACCTTTATCATCTTCAATATTCACACCATTGAATCCGCTAATTATATTCGCCACATTTATCCCACTTTGGATATCAAGTTGCGCTTGAGTAGAATCTGAGCTTTCATTAATGTCTTCAACTATTACTTCTGGAAGTACTTTCTCATTTTCTATGACAGTTTCTTCAGAGGGTACAACAGACTCTGGGGTTTGAGATGGCCTTCTGATCTCTCTTAGCTGTGATGGTGACAAAGGAGGTGGTTTCCCAGGTATATTAAATATCCGTTTAGTCTCCTGCTTAGCTTCATCAATTTTAGATAAGTCTGTTTGTTTTTCTCCATCATCGCCCTTTCGTTTTCTTAAAACATCAGAAAGTTCACTCTTGAAATCAATACTTGGATTCTTCTTTGAAGAAATAAAGCTGACTTTCCTCGTATTGGATGTTCCATGTGACCTGCTCTGATGGTGATTTGACATAGAATGGTTACCAGTAGTGGTTTGAGAGCGCTGTAATGACACTTGATGAGGGCTATTTAATTTTGCTGCCAAGTTTTGGACATTGCAAGCATTACTAATTGACCGTTTAAGTCCATCATGCAGTGTTTCTGTTTCATCCTGTTCTTGTGTATCATTTCGTCTTGTCGCTTGAGGGTCATCAACTATCACTTGTGGATCATCATCATCTATAGTAGCTTGTACACTATCAACATTTGATTCTCCAGTTGATTCAGTGTTCTTTATATGCTGAATAACACTTTTCAGCTCACTTAGAAAACCAGAATCAAGTCGTTTCATCGCCATTCTGGATTAGTATTAGGAATAGTCACTGGCATTATATCCAAATCTCTATAGTTCCATTATCCTCAATTCAATCCATATATTTCTATCCATTCATATGAAACACAAAATATCTCATCATTGAGTCACCATTGAGACTATTGTTTTTTAATAGTTTAAAAGTTACACAATTTCAGTCAACCAAATGGCACAATGTTATTACATCACTGTTCTAATTAATTAAATATATCATATACGATTCTGCCAAATATTAGACATGTATGCCTAGTGTCAACAGTTTGCATTATTTAATGTTATAAATTACTTTTTAATTTCCAATATAACAGTCTAGAACTTTCCTTCAAATTCAAGAGTTCAATTATATATGGTCTCATAGATTTTATACCATTAGATATATTTTTTCATTAAATCTATTGTTTCTGACTGATCCTATCATCAAAAAATTCCACAGAGCTTCAAGCTTTGACAAGTGGCTTATTTCTTTCATTGTCTTAAAAAGTCCCATATTCTATGGATATTTCAACTGATAAGCTCACAAGTATCCCTGCCTGGATTCTACATGTAGTTGGCCCTTCTAATCCTTTCTTGAATGACATGTTAGATCTGTTTAGCCAGATCATCAAATATGAAGAACGTCCTGTAATCCTTAATAGAGTGTTACTACCACTTTCTAAAATATCCATCTGCTTATGAATAATTCATGTTTCTTTGCTATAAAATTTGATAAAATATCAAAGTTTTCACTTCTATATAATTTTAAGTTTTAACTTTCTGTCTTTTCAGTTTATTCCAGGCTGTCTCAACATAAATCCACTCTATTCTACATTTTAAATCAATACCATGATTGTTTTCCACAAGGGGTAAGTAATATATACCTTAAGTGTATGCATAGTCTAGTTGTGATAATATCCACTTCCTAGTGACTCTATCCACAAATATTCCTCCAAGACTAAAGGTTAACATTTGCATAATTAAGGTTCTCAACTCTCAAAGTTTTAATTATAGAACAAAGTAGCTAAAGTATACAGGTGTTTCAACACTTTTCAGTTAATTACTATTTTGAGTCAACTTTCACTTTTATTACCATATCTCAGTCCCTTGTTATGTGCTATCTCTTAATCGTTTATCCCACGTTTGAACATTGTTTGGAATACTTCTACTATAATTTTGAAGTGTTTCTTATAAGTAATATATTCCATAATATGCTGAATTTGTGTATCTCATTTAATTATATTGATTTTACTTCTAGATCCTATATTCAAATACAGATTACTTTCTTGTATTTTGACACCTTTACATTTAAGAAAATATATGATTGACTGATCTAGGAAATTATACAATTTGAGGTTCCTATTGAAAGGGAGTGGTTATAAGTATAACTTATCACCATAGACTTGTTAGTAAAACAAAATAGTAGTAAGTTCCAAGAGCTAAAACACTGTAAAAATAGTGGAATTATCCAAAGATAAAGCAAACAGACAGGTAGCAAGCAGATTAAGTTGTACAGAACTGATGGAAAATAATGAACTTCATTTCACTTTTAGAGAGAAATGGCATGGAATATACATGAGCAGACATGATTTTAAGCAGGGGATTCATGATCTATTAATGTAAAGGTATCTGTTGCCTCTAGGGATGGTAACATATGTGACAGTTGCTATGGACACCAGATATAATGAAATCATTCTACAGACAACACTATCTATATAAATATTCATTTTCTCTTTATATTTAGCTTGATTAAAGCAAACTGACTAAATAGCATAGCCTCTTCCCTTCTTGATTAAATGACTTATATATTGGGATCAACTTGGAGAAACAATGTGAAATAAGAATTGACGTATGACTATGCTAAACATGAGAACATCACCAATGACAACATAATGAGAGGTTCATGTAAAACATAACTGCTTTTATTCAATTTCCAGTCTTAACCTCATGTTGACTGAACTAATCCAATTATTTACTTTGGTTGAACAACACATTGACACATTATCCAATGGTTTGCTTGCATTCACTATACTTATTCCGAGAATAAAGACATCATTAGTGTTGGACTTTGTTGAACAAATGTACATGTATTGAGAATTGGCTTTTTTCGATTCCCTATACCCCTACTCTGATATAGTTATTCCCATGTCTATTGCCTCTTAACACAAACTGGTTGGGGCAAAAGATATGTCAAACCAGAAATAATGTGGCAAATTATACAACAATTAAGACATTAAGTGAAATAAGAAAGGGAGGATAGAGAGTTAAGTGACATAATTTAAATAGTAACATCTCTTTATGTATATGATAATTCCAGTAATTTAAACAAAAGAATATCTGCACTTTCATGACAATAAATATACATTATATAAATCTTGATTTTCTGTTCTATACGGCCAAGGACATTGCAGATAAATGATCAGAGATTAGCATTTGTAATTATGTTTTACTAATTGATGTTTACAAGTGGTCACCCTAATGAATCACCTGCTAGGATAATTATATTTTTGAATAATTATATACAGAATTAATTATTGCCTTATCACCACTTTCTCCACAACTGAGGCAACAATTACACTTAATATGTCAACCATCCCTCATGTTTAACTTATCACCACTTTCTCCACAACTGAGGCAACAATTACACTTAATATGTCAACCATCCCTCATGTTGTTGACAGTTAATAATTATACACAATGATATTAATGCAAAACTGATTAATTTGACACATTTTGGTAGTTAACTTCACACACTTTTCCTGTATAGGTGTATTTTGAGTTTTGAAATATGCATATGGCATAACACTCCATTAGATCATAGGCAGGATATAATTTGTTTCTATTACCTCAAATCCTGCCAATAATTGCAAAAAACAATTAATGTATCTACATTTCCACATCTAATGTATATTTCACCAGCTGTCTGATAATGGCATGATAATACCAGTTTATTAATGTAATTAGATTTCACATTTACCATTACAAGAGGATGGCAGAAAACTGACTGAAACAAGGAATGAAATTGTTTTTTATATCATGACAATAATTTGTGATGTTCTAATGTTTTAATACAGTACCATATTCATTGCAATGAGTGCCGAATCTCTATTCATTTTATACTCTGAAATCTAGTCACTATTCATAGCTCTTAGGCAACATGTTACGTAGCAATCATTTTTATTATTTATATATGATGTATTTATTAGTATTACATACCTAGCGAAGCATTTGTATGGAAGTCAATGGGAAAGTTAGCGAGCTATATCCACCGATATTGCCCGATTACCCCGATATAGCCCGCTTACCTCGTTTTGATATTAGATTTCTTTAATAACCATGATAATATCATGACGTCACGTCATTGATACAAAGTAACCATGGGAACAAAGGCATGTAATACATCAGTTATGTCACTATGACGTGAAATATGCCTTCGTTCTTGCCCAAATATAGAGCCTCCCAAGGTCGGCCTATATTGGGAGAACTCAGGCATATTTCACGTCATAGTGACATAACCTCTAAGTATTTATCAACCTATGCAATATGTATGATATGCTGAATTGTAAGTTTTCATTCATATTTATTGTTGTATGTTATATGAACGCTTTTATAAGCTGATCTTTCTAATCCAGCGTCTCATAAACCGATATTGGCTTTAAAACATGTTTTATTTATTTGTATTACATACCTAGCGAAGCATTTGTATGGAAATCAATGGGAAAGTTAGCGAGCTATATCCACCGATATTGCCCGATTACCCCGATATAGCCCGCTTACCTCGTTTTGATATTAGATTTCTTTAATAACCATGATAATATCATGACGTCACGTCATTGATACAAAGTAACCATGGGAACAAAGGCATGTAATACATCAGTTATGTCACTATGACGTGAAATATGCCTTCGTTCTTGCCCAAATATAGAGCCTCCCAAGGTCGGCCTATATTGGGAGAACTCAGGCATATTTCACGTCATAGTGACATAACCTCTAAGTACTAAATAAAACAACCATAATAGAATAGAACGCCATTTAACATAGATATACATGTACATGTATTCCCACAATTTCAAAAGGGTGTAATGTAAGCAAAGTCCACACTCAATATTGAAAAGGAGGACATTATTCATTATAATTCTGTATCTGATCTTTTAACATTCTACAGTTCTATTAGTGCTCCTATCTCAAGGGAAAGTCTGTTTCCCGCCTCCCCTAATTACCCCTAATTATCTCATCCTATAAGCATATCCCATCCCATAAGCATATCCCATCCCATAAGCATATCTCATCCCATAAGCATATCCCATCCCATAAGCATATCTCATCCCATAAGCATATCCCATCCCATAAGCATATCCCATCCCATAAGCATATCCCATCCATAAGCATATCACATCCCATAAGCATATCTCATCCCATAAGCATATCCCATCCCATAAGCATATCCCATCCCATAAGCATATCCCATCCATTAGCACATCCCATCCCATAAGCATATCCCATCCCATCAGCATATCTCATCCCATAAGCATATCCCATCCCATCAGCATATCTCATCCTATAAGCATATCTCATCCCATAAGCTTATCCCATCTGCTGAGCTAATCTCATCTCCTCAGCTTATCAAATATTAACATACATTTGGACAGAAATCCTTGTTTGTGCTTTGATATTATGTAGAAAAAAAGTTTATAACTATGTAAACTTAATATTAAAGCATTAATAGTTTCATCAGATGTATGAAAATGTAAATATAATATACTGTATGTCCGAATATTGCATTTTAACGGAAGGTGTGGGTTCAAAATATGTTATTTATTCTACATTAAACTAAAACTTAATATACATTTTCATCCTACGCCTCTGTTGGTAAATATAATTAACTCAAGCTGCATTGTGATAAATCCTTCCTCAGCTAAAATGTTACATTCCTCTTATTATTACCTAAGCTTGCTTGTCTGTCAAATTTCAATAATTTCAACGGAACTGATCATCAAGAATTTCTTAATACTCTTAAACTATGTGTCTGTTCATTTCATTCCTCGCTGATTTCTTCTCTTTTAATGATTTATAAACATGCCCACAATGCCATTTATTTAAGGGCTGGTAATCAATATAAAATAACAATAGCGCATAGTTTTAATCTATTCATCTATTGGAACTCCACACTGTAAAAGGACACTAAAGGATCATTAAAGGTAACTATTATTTTATTAAATAATAATTATCATTTTCCTCATTTTTATATGATATATATTAACTTAATAAATCTCAAATGATGTAATAAAAAAAGAACAAGTTTAAGAAGAGCAAAAAAAAATATCATAAGACAGTGTTAAACTTCCAATTATTATAACAAATAAAATATCAACAGTTAATCTTGAACTTTAATTGAGTGTTAGAGCACAAAATAACTAGAGGACACATACATTAATGTTATTTTTGAAAACTCCTGTAACTTCACTGTAACGAGCTAATTTGATGAATGTTAAAGTAAGAAAATGGGAGAACTGCTGGTGTTCGAGTTTGGTAAGATTTTTCTTTTCTCGTTTTAAACCTGCTTCTAAAGTCTAGTAGCAGATTTTAACTTGGCTCAAATTTAGAAAATGTAGTCTAGTTTCAGATTACCTGTTAGGTATTTGGTTTCAACATGAAACCACAAGTTTGTCCCTTACTTTTGCTACATTGATGGAAATCAACGTTAAACTTACATTAGTAATATTCTGGACTATTCTTGATAGATTATTCTAGATTCTTGGTAGATTCTTAAACAAGGCATTAACTTGACAAAATGTCACAACCTACTTGCTCACAATATTATTAGGTCAATCTTAAGTCAGATTTGAATTCCTGAAAACTTAGTAGATGATTTTGAAAAAAAATTGGTCAATTTGAAGCAAGTTGAAAAACAACCTTTTTGACCTTGAGAAATTCAATGAAGGTCAAATCTAAAATCTAAAGTCAGATTTAAACTTCTGAAAACTTATAGATGATTTTGAAAAAACTGAAGTCAGTCTTAACAGTATTTGTTAAGTATTTGGAAGTTTCAAGAAATTGTTACAGATGCAAACCGCCAATCGCCAACCGCCGCCACAAAAAACGGAGACCATAACAATATGTCACCACTTTTTTGGTTGTGACATAACAAGACTATATTCTCTTTCTTTTAGCCAAACTATAACATGCAACTTTACTTATACATGTACATGTAAGTAGGTTTTAATTGAGAAAGCAAAAATAATTGCTGTACTGGAACTAATGCAGTTACTCCATTTTGTTACAAAAAAATTATGCTTCCAAGTATTCAAATACAAAATATAAACAGAATACACTTTATAACTTTTGGAGGTTAAGCAGAATATGTAAAAAGACACATATGAAACTGGCCACCAATATCTCAAGGTGGCCGCAAGGGATTTTCAACTAAATCAATATCAGTAAAATTACTGCTGCGAATTTGCTGTGGACAAAAAGGGTGAAATATGAAGAACATCAGGTTGACATTGTTTAGTGCCTGGAAGTATTGTATATCTTCTCATAGTGTTTATTGTGCTTTATTTTAGATGAGAACCATGGGTACTGTGATGACAGCACTGATAGTTCTCTTTGCTTGCATCATTACGACAGATGCCCAAAGTAACAAAATTAAAGAGGCACTTAAACGTCTGTTGAAGAAATCCCCAGTAGGGACCCAGATATTAAAAACGATGATAAAGCGATTGGAGGAACTGAATGGAAGAATAGATGTAGAAAATATGTTGCAACAAGCTGAGGATCATTTCTATGAAACTGCCTGCCATCTGGCCATTAATGTGAAATGTAAACCAAAAAACCCAATGTGTGATGAATTGAGCGATGTCCATGCAAATTGCTGTTTCCTCATTGAACCGTTCAACATGACTCAAGCCAGCGATGCTGCAGCATTCTGTATATCAGACTGTGTGGAGACAAACAAGAAAACTGCACTTGCAGCAATGAAAGAGTGTAATTCGTCAAGTGTTCATGGGTTGTTCGTTGATGGACAAATAAAAGTGGAACACATTTGTGACGATGAGAAGAAAATGCAAACCTCAAAAAGGAAGTCCAAAAAATTCGATCAATCTGAAGAGGAAGTGGATTTTAAGTGTGTTTCGAAATATAACAGAAAGCCTTCCAAAAATGGTTGTTGCTCGCTAAAGGTTGGGGATCCAATGGAGATTGTTTGCACACGGAAGTGCCAAACACAGTTGTAATGTAACAATATGAAGAAATAAAAATAATCAAATATCAGGTATTGTTATGTCAATATGGAGTTAGGCTGTAATGTGTCCACTGTTAACCACTGTGAATGATGTGATATGACATCATACTTGTATTTCACACAAGTTCATGATGAATGAGGCACGTGCAAGCTTGTACAATGCTCGTAATTGTTGTTTTCGAGGCCCGTACGCACGGGCTCATAATTTCGAGGCCTGTACGAGCTTGTATGAGGACCGTTATCGAACTCCAAACAAAAAAATTATTGCTGTCATGCTACAGAAAATGCTGTTTATGCTTTTTCATTTCAGTTTGATGTTTTTATGCACACATCCAATAACAATAACATTTATTTACATCACATTTTGACTTCTGCCGCACGCAAATGTTTTTATATGCATTTACTTCACTTGTAGAGAAATATGGTGTCTCCTATCGGTTACCCTCCTGTTTATTTTGTTTCCTAGCTTTTATACTGTTTATCATGTAAATACAGACATGCGAATATTTTGAAATTATTGAAGACATAATAATTCATAATTAGATATAATTGAAATGTCATTTCTCAAGTATGCTGTGTTTTATTTCATGGATCAAAAAGTGTTAATCAAAATAAACGAGCAATTACTAACCCCATACGGGCAAGTACAGTGCTCGAAAATTATGAGCCGTTACGAGCCTTGTTACAGGCATTGACAGGCAAGTACAAGGTTTGAAAATTTCGAGCTATTACGAGCCTTGTAACAGGCACCGTACGAGCAAGTATGGGGATCAAAAATTACGATTTATTATGGGGCTCCTTACGGGCACCGTACAGTCAAGTACGGGGGTCGAAAATTACGAGCTATTATGGACCATCAAAATTCTTTTATCTTTTGGTACATCCATACTCTGGAGCACCAGATGCAATAATTTTCAATATCCAACTAGAACCCATTGCCATATTGTAAATATTAATTCAATAATCCTAATTTTGACAACAATAATGCAGATTTCTGCAAAATGAGGCAAAAGTAGGTGTCAGAGCCATCATGATAATGATAAATAGAGGATATCCTATGATTTATGAGTGATATGATTTTTATCCACGAATGGATATGATATCTGCACGAGCGAGCGTAGCGAGAGAGTGTAGATATCAATATCCATGAGTGGATTAAAATCATATCACGAGTAAATCATAGGATGTTCTTTTTATTCCATAGTTAAAGTCATCATCAGAATCGTCAGAAATTAAGTTATTTAATTCGAATTTCCAAACGATCCGGCGAAGTTGACACTTAGCCTCGTTTTGAGTCTGAAGTAGCAAAAATCCATAAACCATCGCATACGACGTCGTATGTCATGGCTAAAAAACCGTATGTTATGGTTAAGTGAAAATTTGTCAAAAATATCATATTTTACCACTGATTACAAAAATACCGTTTTTATTTTCACATGTTATCCTATGAATATCATGCTAACTATGGAATAAAAAATGATATCATGATAAAATGAATATGATGAAGGAGGACAGTTTTCATTTGATGGATGAATACAGACATAAGATGCATGGATTAATAGATGGAAGAGTAATTGAGAAGGTGATTACATCAGGCAATATACTGCTCATCTTGTAATCCAATGGTTTACACTCTTCTATTTCAATTTTAAAAGGCAATGCATTTTCCTCGCAAGGCATCTTGGCACGCCATCTAATTAACACAATAACTTCAACACAACCTAATTGTAACCCTTTATTCTGAGGAAGTGAACAACCATTGGGAAAACTGTCATCCAATAGTCATTAAAAATCTTAGCGCAAAGAATTTAACTTTTGGACAAAGAAATGTCTCTAATAAAAGAGAAATGTCACAGTAAATATATTTTGAAACACAAAACAGTGAGAGTGCAATAAGAAGGCAAGACATATAAGGCATTTAAGTTACATTTTAAATTATCTCTAGATCAGCAAATCAGCCAGCTCAGTCACATTTTGCAGAAAAAAGTGGAGTGTGTATGAACCCATGTCTAGTCTGTTCTCTCATACATACCTGGGATGTCTATTCCTCCATAGTTGATGTAGATGCGATGGAGGCCTGCCTCGCTGGGGGTATATGTCACTTTCTGGCTACTACCAAAGGTTGCTAGGCGATGAGGGATGACCCGACCACTGGGACTTTCAATCTTGATCTTGAGATCAGCGTGCCCAGCGTCACTATGATGAACTGAAAAACAAGTATTATGTTCTATGAGTTCATGGCTTGTATGGAGTGCTATTCAATCATTCCATTTTGTGCATACATTCAAGTGCAAAACATTGATGACAATAATGACATATAAATGATGAGCAAAAACTGTTCAGTGGAACCCTCTGGAAGTGGAATAGGTTTTAAAAGTCAAGTGACCCACTGATGTCATAATGTTTCAGCTCCTATGTAAAGGCATTCCTCTTTCAGGTTATTCCAATACTCACTGTCAAATCCTGTCTCCTCTCCTACAGTTGAATCCTCAATGCCCTCTACTGTGATTCGGTTAGGGTCATAAATGTCCACATAGAATGGACTCCCACTAATATTATTGCCACCATACAGGATATCAACGATGTGACGTCCAACATACTGGGAGGAGTATTCAACCTTGTAGTCTCCATCGTGCTGGCGGACTATCTTCGCGGGAACAACTTCCCCATTAGGTGCTATAACACAGATATAGGCATTATTTTCACTTTGCCATAATTTCTAAGTTTTATGGGAATAATTCTGAATTTGTAATTTATTCATGTGTTAAGTGAATGTTTATAAGGTGCTCAGTTTAAACAGTGACATACACTTTTTTCATTTCAAATTTCTTTAAACTGTTAAATATCACCACATATCATATAGAGAATGAACTGAATCAACTCATGGACTTATTGTTTCTAACATAATATTCAACAATCACGCCAACATTTTGCACAGATAAGTCTGGAATTAAATAAGCTTAATTATGATAATAGATTAGGGGCATGTGATATAGGACTGCATGGTACTTAATTATAATCATACATGTATATAGTACTATGTAGTTTAAAAATTATCATATTTAGGTAGTTGGTTAACTAGCAATGCCAAGGTGTATAAAATCCAATCAAACACTTTCTTGAATGTATTTACATATAAAAATACCAACAAAATCACTGCATTCTATCGATATCTCAAAGATTCAAATTCTAACATTTGAAAATGAATCTGACTACCTATTCGAATCACACATCACTAACAGATGAATGGATGGAATTTTTCTCTATATCCCTACTTGAACTTCCTGGGCAGGAAAATTAGCCCAAAAATATTTGTTAGGTGTCAAATAGGTGGGGTCTAGGGAGAAAACTAGATGATTTCATGAAGCAATGACATGCCAACATCACTCCATCCCACACATAATCACAGCTTCCATTCTGCACTCACTCAATCAAATCAAAGCAGAAGTGCCAGGGAAACATCAATTGTGGATAACACAACACTTAAAAGATAAGCAGGGGTAAGATTGCATCCTGGTTAGAAATGTTTGATAAAACAAACATGTATATAGATAGGGTACTTAATATAATACAATACAACATGAACATAAACATATACTAGAAACATGGCAACTCTAAGGAGTAGCAGATCCCATTGAACAAAACATATTTATCAAATCACTCCTCATTTTGAATTTCTTTTGAACAGAAACAATCAGGCAGTAGAAGTGTTTCCTTTTGGCTAAAAAACAAGACACATAGTGAACAGAATTGCACCCTCAGTTCTAAATTTTCATATGAAGAAACTCTTTTCAGATGATTCCATGAAACGGTTTGGCTGGAAACTTGTAGACAAGCCTCGACAGGCAAGATTTTTGGACGAAAAATCCAGAATGCCCAAAATCTAAACAGGTTTAAGCTTTCATATGTAGAAACATCCATGAAAATTTCAGATGAATCAATGTAACGGTGTAGCTGGAAAACTGTATAAAAGCCTTGACAGACATTTTAGTACAGAAAATCCAAAATGGCTGCCTTTACATTTATCCAAAATGCCCAAAAACTTATAATTTCTTAAACTTCATAGGTAAAAACATCCCTGAAAATTTCAGATGAATCCCTGAAACAGTTTGGCTGGTAACCTAGGTAGAAACATCCCTGAAATTTCAGATGAAACGGTTTGGCTGAAAAGCTTTAGACATATTAATCAGGATGTCTACCCGCCCAACCACCAATCCGGCAAACTGATCACAATATATCACCCAAGGGTGCAATAGTTAGGCTATGTTAGATTCAAGTGTCAGTTTAAATCATCATTATAATTATCATGATGAAGTTGGTAAAGGAGGTCTGATTTAGAAATAGATGGCAGAGACATCAATGTTTGACAAAAATGGCAGCATTTTTGAATTCAAAGATGGAGAAATCAATAGATGTTTTCTCTATATCACTATCCAAACTTTGTTTGGTGGGATAATAAACATTAACAATGAAAGATGAGATACATTCATACTTGACTAACCTTGGAGCAGTGTTAGCAGAGTATACCAAGATCTAGGGACATTTAAACATGGTTAGCTTTGTCTTTAAGGAATATTTTTTGTAAAATCTCTTCTGAGTTGATAATGGCCATAAGGAGTCTAAGCTTATAGGATATGATCAGCTAAAATGTTTTGTTCTTAATTCTATGTGCATGGTAATCCATTTCACTAGACCTCCAACAACCCTTATAAACGAATCAAGGCTTCTTTTAAGTGAAAACATTATTCAAATAATACACATAGAATTTTGGACAAAAGAAAACAGTACCGTGGGTACTGGGCTCACACGGTGTTGCTCAAAAGTGAATGATGGCTAAAATGGCAGAAAATATAAAACAATGGATGTAATTTTTGCAACAAAATTATTTCATACAACTACTCTTTACAGTGACATGGCTTTTTACAATGCAGGACAGCTGAAATTATTTGTAAAGCTAGGAAATGGGCTACAAGTAAATTTCGCAAGACAAAAATGGCGACCATTTTGAAAATAGGCGAGCATTTGAACCAGGAGACATAGAAGAGTTTTCTACATTGATGTTGAACAAAAATAACTTAAAACGAGAATCCTATTGACAGAGGCTTTAAGGCAAATGGTCCAAAAGTAACAAAATTATTTCATACAACTACTCTTTACAGTGACATGACTTTTTATAATGCAGGACACCTGAAATCCTTTGCTTAAATCTAGGAAATGGACCAAAAATGAATTTCGCGAGACAAAAATGGGGACAATTTTGAAAATAGAGGAGTTTTTGAACAAGGAGTCATGAGGGAGTTTTCTGTATTGATTTTTAACAAATATATAACTTAAAACGGAAATCCTAGCAACACAGGTTTTGAAGCAAATGGTCCAAAAGGGAATTTCCCCGAGACAAAAATGAAAATAGACGAGCTTTTGAACCATGAGTCATAGGTTTTTTTCTATATGTTGAACAAAAATAACTTAAAATGGGAATCCTATTGACATAGGTTTTAAAACTGGTTAATTGTGACAGACAGACAGACGGACGGACAGACAGACAGACAAGTGAGTGATTGCAATAGCTCACCATATGAGCTAATAAAAGACACTCACTAGAACTGGATAGCATACATTGCTATTAAAGTTTGAATGAACAAGTATTAACAAGCTGTTAGCAAAAGAAAGAATAAATTCAACAACAATTAGACATAACGCTGATATTAGCCAGATGGGTAACACTTGTATTACTTGCAAATATTAAAAAAATGACAGTAGGATACCAATCTGGCCAAGCTTGTTTTAAACATTACATAAAATATATAAGAGTTATAAATTGGGAGTTTAGATTACAGAGTGTATCCAGAGAAAAAGATGATTTTACTATTAATTTTTAACTTGAAATATGATAAATTAAAAAAGCTTTTCAAAACAATAAAAATCCTCATATTTAAAATGACAGTTACAAGATACAGAAAACATTCTAAAGTCATGCATTGAAAAGTACTTTATTGATGGAAAATACATGCTAGATTAAAAGGAACACCAACAAACATTATGGAATGTTGCAAACTGTACATGTCCAGCAATATGACATCAATAAAATACTTTTAAAAATTCTCAAGTTCATTAAGTACATGTACATATTTTAGGCATCCAATGGTTGATTGATGCATCTGGACAATTGCTACAGAAATCAGCTACAAGTTGATTAATATTAATGATTTTGGCATTTTAGAAATTTCTTTCAAAATCACCTTTCCCTTGTAAGCTGTGCAGAACAGATTTCCCCCTAAACCGACAAGCCAAACTTGTTTGCAACTTGAAATATTTAATTAAAACTTAATAAACCGTGTAACTCCAGATATGTGACATATCACATAACATATTTTTGATGGGTTTTGATCAAATACAGTAAGTTGATACTTGTTAGAAAATTACTCTATTATCACATATTAAAATCGTCACTTAAAATGTTATACTTGAAGCAATTCTGAGTTTAAAGTTACCATTTTAATTGTTTTACATTAAGCAAACAGCAAATATGTATTTCTGTGTTATATACATGTAGGTATACATATTTCAAATATATATAGCCTCAACAATATTTCATGTTATACAGATATTTTCTTTAGAAAATATGTAAACTTCCTTTGAGTGGTGCTTTAAATATCTGTAATAATTTGATGACCATATATATTGATTCATTTTCATAATATTGAAGGTTAAATCAGATTGCAAGAAATGTATCATTGGATCCCTAATAGAATATACACATATGCACACTGTCTTTTCCACTGGAGTAGGTGTTGACTAAAATTGCCTCCTTTCAAACAATGCAAACAAAAAGTAGACTGTAATGTTTGTTTACCTCTTACAATGACCTGGAGGTCTTCAGGGGCAGCTTGGAGGCCATGCATCTCAATAACAAACCAGCAAAGACGATCCACAGAGGCATTACGTAAGCTCCTATTGGCAATTGTGATGCTGCCTGGGTCAACTTGACTTACAGCTGAGATTACAAATTATAAAAATGGCAGCTATTAAATCATCAATTCCTCAGATTATATTGAAGTACAGACATTCTGTAAGTCTATGATATAAATGCACAGCAGATTGAGATTTGACCATTATATTATTTCATTTTTCTCTATTTACCAGTTTTATCTTCATGAATGGTCTCATTTTCATTACATTTATCAACTTTAATAAGGATATATAGAATTTATTCCTTGCTGTCTTGTTATATTCTATTTCATTTCAGTTTGATTGTCTTTGTATTTTTTGTCATACCTTGTGTGACGTATGTTTCTCTGACAACCCTCTGTTGACTGTAAGTCTCCTCTAGTTGCCCTGCTACATACACCCTGAGAGGAGTTCCTGCTAGTTTCTCATAATTGAACATCACCTAAAAAGAAGGTCATTTAGGACATGATATTTTGCAAGATTAAGGCCACATAATATCAGTCATTTTGACATCATTTTAGTGTCATATATTCATGGCGAGCAAGTTACATTTCATATATTATGAGTTATTATTTCAGTTCCATACTCCAATTTTTACTTGTGCCATTTGCTTAATAAAAGTGTACCACTTTCAGGTATTTCTATACAATTAAGATTGTTGACTGTCTGTTTATATCATTCCTTGCTGATTACACTATTTTGATATTTTTGTATTTCAAATTTAAGGCCCCCTTGATCCAGCATGGTATTTGTCAGTTGTCACATACCTCTATATTGTAGTTGCCTGGTTCCTTAGGTGTATATGTGAACCTGTGTCTGTTATTCCCAAGCTGTGTACGCTGGGTGCGGCACAGGTTACCTGTGGGAGTGATCACTTCTACGTCAATGTCACCTTGACCTGATTGAGAGGCATCAACTACAAACACAAAAAACATGAGCACTCATTTTTCATTGATTATTATTATGAATTTGTAACTTACACCTTCCTGGATTATACACAGTTGACCAAAAACTTTCATATTTTTTATTTTCCTATTGGTATTTTGTTTTTATCAATAATATTTTTTTGAATAATTCTGAAATGGCAAAATGTAATGGTTTATGAATGGAAACTCAGGGTTGCAAGGTAATATTTGTTTTTACAATTTTCCTGTTATTTTAGCAATGCCCCCTAATACATCAGAATAAGATGGACATGTCAAATAGAGATTTATTTCTCCAATTCAAGAACAATTGCAAAGGTAATTCCTGCATCTCCATCAAAAATGTTTTGTAATCTTCTCACCTGTGAATCCCATTTCACGCCCTATGTCTCCCTGCTGGTCTACATCAACAATGCTGACCTTAGATGTGTCATAGACCTGGCATGTGAAAGGACTGCCATGGATGTTAACTGTAGCATATGTGACACTGATCACATGACCTCCAACCTCTGTAGGGAGGAAGCTGACAACATAGAGGTTGCCACGACGATTAACACGACATGGAACAAGTCGTCCAGTGGGACCTGGAATATAGATTAACATCTCCTAATATACATTTCAATCCACTTAGAATAGGAATGGAGCCAGTCTCTAAAACCTAATCTGATTCATGGAGACTTTATAGATGTCTTAAAACACTGCAGGTTTCCACTTGATAAGGTCAAGAAATAACATTAATGTTTGTTATAATTCTGGCTTATGGCTCACTCCAGATTAATATACAGTAATGGTAACTTGCAACTTTCCAAAAGGCTTTTACCCTCTCTCACAACAGAAAATGATGTATTCATAATTGTCCTACTTGGCTCTTTTTCTGCAACTTACTTGTTACTTTCACATCTATTTCAGCCTCAGGGGTGCCATGAGGGTCAATTTCAAAGCTGATCTCTTTGTTGACTGATGCCATTCTAATTCCATCACCTGATACAGCAACTTTACTGGTATCAATTATGTCGATTTTGAATGGAGAGCCCTAAATAAATAAAGATTGACTTTTGTAAATGTACATATGTTAAGTGAGCCATCTCAGCTGCAGTCTATGGCTTTTCAGCTCATGTGTTTTCTCCACAAACTCCTCTGTTGTTGATAGTCATAGCGCTTGATAATTGGTTAGGATTATTTGTTAACTTTTACCAGGAAATAAAATACCTACCTTTATGTGTTGGTCGTTGAATGTCAAGTTGACTATGTGAGCCTCATTCTCTTTTGGGGTGAAGGTCACTTCATATTTCCCTGGCCCTGTGTTCTGTATATAACTGTGCACCAGTGTACCCTTACACAGAACCTCTGAACGTAGCGTACCCTCGCCTGCCTTGCTTGTCTCAACTATAAATATAAACAAGTGGTTTGTCTAAATTGGTTAGACCAATTTGCAGTTCATCTCCAGCATAATCACCTATTATATATCAACTCTCTGATAATGAGAGTTATACATAATACTACACATAATCAAATGTTTTTCTTATTCTTTGTCAATGTTCTAATGTTCATATCTCCTTTCACCCACAAGCAAAACATTATATCCATTTATTATATAAACAATTCATATGATTCTTACCTGCATGCAAGCTAGTGGGCTAACATCCAAATATTTATGTGAGTTAAAATGAAATGCTATCCCATGAAAAAAATGTCACAGTGTTCATGTTTTGAATGCAATTTTTAAATTAGTGTTTTAATGAATAGAATCTACAAATCATTGAGAAACAGGCACTTATGTGTTGCGCTCTTTACTGAAGGGAAATGAAAAAGAAAGAAACATCATTCATGCTTTAGAGAAGATTTACATTACAACACAATGAAATTCTGAGCTTGATTTGTACCTGTACCTTCCTCAGTTCATCCTTTCAAAGGACAACATTCTAATACTCAATGCGTGCAATTATTTACCTTACAGATTCAATGGGAATTATAAAAAATAACTGACTTAAAGGAAAACAAAAAGAATTCATTGCCTAGCACTTGAAAGGGATTCAAGGATTCATATTTTTTCTATTGATACTATCAACATGTTTTTATTACCTTAACATATACTTAGGACAATATAGGATTCTGTAAATCATTTAGCAAGGGGCAATCCATCTTAAACCTTGATTTTTTCATGTATAAACACTCAGGCATTAAACATTTTTTTATTAGTCTTAATATAAATCACAGTCACCTTGCCACATATGTGCATATTCCATCTAAAATCATTTTGGCTTTTTATAAAGTTAAGTAACCTGACAATTGAAATTCTTGAATGCAATTGAAAATACTTATTGCAATGAATAGTTTATTATGTACTTACACACAATTAACGAGATAATGTTAAAATGTTCTTGCTCACTTATGTCTGGAGGCAGTTATAAAAGTATTAAAACAAGGGGACATATTTGTCTCCTATATACTCACAAGTGTGGGTAGAAATAAAGAATAAAATAAAAATAGTAAAAAGAAATTGATATTTTTATATATTTGACCCACTTTGTAATAGCCTTAAAGTCTGCATCTCATAAACTCCAGTTGAGCTAAAAGAAGCTAGACTATAATGTCACAAGTGTTAAGATCATTGTCCAAAACTGAATATGGGATACTTAAAGTCAAATCACACTTTTTCATGATTGATGTCATGATCATTAATTCTTAAGAATTCCTGGTATATAACTTCATGGCTGATGGAGAGTTGCATGATTACTTGAAGGGCTTTTTATAACTGTAATTTTGAAGGTACATACATTCAAAAAATCTGAGATTTGTATGACAGAAGTTAAAATTCACAACAACCTTAACTTTATAAACTTGTACTAGAAATAAATTCAGTTCATTGCAGTTCATATAACAGTCCTGACAATCTTGAAGATTCATATGGTATATTGGAAAATAAAAGTATTAATTATATGCATTGTCTTAAACATGAAAATGAAATGTGAGCATATGTCTGGGAATAAACCATAGATACTAGAATTCTGTGATTCTATGTCGCCGCTGAAAAAACGCAGAATTTTTGTTTTCACAATTTTTGCAGAATTTTATTTTTCGCACGGAATTTTGCGGAAAACATGATTTTTCCAGTTAACCACCCCATCTCATATTTGTCACTCACCTGGACACCTTAGACAGTCATTTGTCACCATGAACTGGTTTTATGAGGATTCCGAAGGGGAAATGTGAAATCTGTTTAAAATTCTCCAACTTCTGGCTTTTGCACTTAAATATGTCACAAAATTTGAATTCATGTACAATTTAGTTTCGCCGAAATGCATTTTATTCCTAAAACATAGCATTTTTCATGAATAAAATCTCCATACCTTCAATGGTGACTGGCTGACCAGCAAAGCCACGACTCATCTTGCTGACGTTGACCTGATTGACGTCATAGACATAAGGGTAGAAAGGGCTTCCACTAATGTCAACTTCAGCATACTTGACAGAGACTTTATGTTGCCCAACCTCTGTTGGTGTGTATTCTGCCCTGAAGGAGGAACTACTGTTGCCAGAGATTTGCACTGGAACTTTGTAGCCATTTGGGGCTGGAATGACAAGAGGAATATAGGTTAATCACTTTTCACTTTTTCTTGGACAAAGAAATTATCATAAAGGAGAATTTAAAACATATATTTATAAATCAGCACAAAATTTGTAAAAATGTAAAACTTTAATGGACTTACATGTGACCTCTGCAACCAAGTCAGCTTTGCCTGCACCCTGTGGGTCAACTGTGAATGTTGCCAGTTTATTGACAGAGGTAAGACGTATCCCATCTCCACTTGCTATACACCTGTGTCCATCAACAACATTGCAAGCAAATGGACTTCCTAAAATCCAAACAAGTGAAAAATTATAGTTCTAAGATACCCCAAAAAGTAATTGATTCAACTAAAGTTATTCCACATAAACAAAGACGATTCCTTGAATTATATCTGTTAGAAAGAGAATATGATGCAAATGGTTCAATGGTATATAAAATCATATAAAGGTTAGATTTTGTGTTCTTTATTTGTTGGTATATAATTAGGTAAATACACACAGTTCATTTCATGCTTGAATTTATGGAATAACTACTACTATTATTCTATATTTATTATTCTATTACATGCACAGAAACTTCTTATGTTTAGTCTTAAATAAACACAAAATGCAATAATAATGCTTTTTTAATTAATAACTTCAGTCCATTGCACATCCCCAAAAAAGCAGTTTCCATCTAATTTTGGGGACATCCATTGGACTGTATTTTATGGCTAATGTATGGTAAATGCTACTGTCATGCTTATGGTACTATATTATCACATTGCAGACTTCAGTCATCATTCACACTCATATCACATTCATATTACTCTTATCATGATGTTAGTGTATTTCAGGGTTTAAATAATTTAACAAACAATCAAGTGTACTCCAACGTAAACCTTTATTTAAACATATCTAATATATGACAAGTGTTCAGGGGTATAAATGTAGAGTATTATATACTTATTTAGGTGTCTCAAAATGCTAACTTAGTAGTAAATATTCATGCGTCCTTCTTGACATGCTGGTAACCAAATAATACCTGGCCTCTCAGTTGCACAATTATATTAACTGCTTCCCAAAACCATTTCATGCACCTTAAATAGTCAAAAGTAATTAGATTAGTAGTTATTTAATACATAGTGTGTCACTGATAGTTACACTTAATATTCAAATTTTATTCAAAAACTGAAAATGTTCTGAAACTGAACGCTATTGCAACAGAAAGTACAAACCTTCAATCTCATCTTCATTAAAGAAGACATTAACATTGTAAGCATAAATATTGGGTTTGGGGGTAAAATAAACACGGAAACTTGAGCGATTTCCTGACTCTGCCTCTAAGTAGTTTGGGATCCTCTGTCCATCTTTCGCACATGTCACAATGACCTCCAAGTTCCCTGTTCCCGCATCCGAGGCATCAACTGGAAATCAAAACATTGTTTAAAAACATGTTTCTCAATCTTGCCTTTTGTCACTAGGATTGCTTTTTTGTAAGATAATATACAAAATATTTTAACTTGTGTCTGCTTGACATTCATTTTGACTTTTCCATTGACTTTCACTTCACCAAGATTCTTATTTGTTTGTATAAAAGAAATTGCAACAACTCTCTTTCTCTTGAAAGAAATTCATAACTTCATCCCATAATCTTGAAAATATTTCCTCCAGCTTCATTACTTACCAAAGAATACAATATCCTCTCCTGGGATACCATCTTTATCCTGGCCCTCAGACATGACATCACGTATGATGCGAACTTTACTGATGTCATAGACATTACACTTAAATGCACTCCCAGCTATTGGGATGTTGTCATATTTTATGTTGATTGTATATACCCCTGAAATAAAAGAAATATGCCACTTTCATGCAATTTTTCTAAGGAATTAAGAGGCTTTAACTCAAGATTTACTATATGCCTCTATTTTATCTTTACAAATGTTCCTTTTATAACCTGAAAACACTGTATAACATACAACAATGCAAAATGATCTTACCTACTTCACCCGGAGTATACTCTACTCTCCATGGTCCTCTCTTGGTTCCTTTGATATGATATGGGACATTCTGCTTGTTAGGGGCTACAATAAAACATATACAACTTACTTGCTTTGTTTGGAATATATTGTTGGAGTATATAATATATAGAGGTTATTTAATGGGAGGGATGGAATATGGATTTTATTCCGAGGGAAAATATGATATTGGCCAAGGAAAATATCATATTGACCGAGGGCGATAGCCCGAGTGTCAATATCATATTTTCTGAGGCCAATATCATATTTTCTCAAGGAATAAATCCATATTCCATCACGACCATCAATAACCTATTTATTTCATAATATTTTTTTTTCAATTTTAATGAAGTCATCAACATCCTCTGTTGCATACCTAGACATATTTGTCACAGTAATAGACCTTTGTCACAGTAATAGACGTAAACTAGATGATAATAATTTCAATAATTTCAATTTTCCAAACGATTTTTTTACTTCCTGTAGAGATGTGCTAGATGAAAAGCGTAAAACTCAAGAGAAATTACCGGGAATATTTCTGATACGGGATCTGATACGGGATTTTTGCTGATACGGGATCCAATACGGGATCTTGGCTGATACGGGATCTGATACGGGATTTTTCAAATAACACTTTTATTCCCTGTTATTTTCCCAGGGAAAACATGTTATTATGGAATAAATGGATATATATGGAGTAAATAATTACATATTTTCTGAATTCACAGATTCTGTTTGTAAATGCAAGTTGTATTTCTTATTTATTTATTAATATGGTATCTGAGCCAATTCTGGTGTGCTTGGGGATGAAATATGAGATGATATTCATTACCTTATTAACTCCAAAATCTTTTCAAATTGTTTTAAATGTTCTTATATTACACATCATATACAAGTGATTGTAATGATAAGAAAATTATCAAGATATTTCTGACATTGTCATACTTACATGTAATAGTAACTTCAACATCTGATTCAAAATCTGATTCTTTGGGCTCAATATTGAAATAACTTGGCTTATTTATTGCACATTTTTGAAGGCCCGGTCCATTAGCAGTGCAGGGCGTATTATCTAGAACATCAACTTTGTAGGGCGAACCTAAACAGAAAAACATAGAAATGTAAATTTCTGAAACCTCAGTCCGTCAAGTTGATTTTTAATAGAAAATATGCACTAATAAAATTAAAAGTATAGCCTAGAAAATGTGTTATTAGACTTGTATATTGAAGTTATATATAAAATAGAAGCAAACCTGGTATACTCTGTTTAGAGAATGTGATGTGGATGGTATGCTTCATTGGAGTTGATGGTACAAAATGACATCTGTAGAGACCATTTCCTTTATTATGTAACTTGTGTGCAACTCTGAAGTCTATGGCTTTCACACAGACTGCAATATCCCCAACCCCAGCTTCTCTTGTATCAACTGTAAAACATTTCATGCACAGGCATTTTATATATATTCACATTGCAGATCCTTGTCTGTGTGCTTATCTCATTTTCTATTAAATCGTGAACAAATATCATATTCTGATGCTGAATAAGTGAAACAGAAGAGAATTCACCCTGGATCTCTTTCTAAAATAGTCACTAGAGAAAACGCCCAGTGTAGCAAATCTCAATTGGACAAATCATATTTTATCAAATCATTTGCCACTTGAACATTACATGACAGAAATAACATAATATAAATTCCTTCTTACAAATCATGTGTTCATAAGGAATGAGCCTATAAAATTTTGAGCAAATCTGATAAGCGATATAATGTGTTATAGAAGTTATTTTCCTTCTGATAAAATATAACATGAAATATAAACCAAATCTGACATCTGATATTTGAACAATCAAAAGTCATATTTCGGTGGCCATTTTGAAATATTAAAAATTCCTTCTAGAACAGAGGTCCTATTCCTATTAGACAATAACATATAAATCAGACCATATCTTATAACTTGTTTTTAAATACAAAAATTAAATTTTTTCATGTCAAAATGTCAGTCAGTTTAAATTCATGAGAAATTTGAACAGAGGTTAATGTCCCTATGGAATCAGCATTTAAAATTTTAACCAAATCTGTAAACTAATATTTCAAGTCCAACGCCAAACATGTACCGGAACATAAAATCTGAACTAAATCCTCTGGTATCAGAGATATCTACATTTATATTCTTTACAAAAAGGAGGCAACCACTTTGAATTAAGCAGCAAGGCTTTATAGAAAATAAGATTTGTATGTATCATACAAATTTGAGGAAAATCCATCCACTGGTATTTGAGTTGTGAAATATTAATATATTATAAAATATGGTGGCCATTTTTAATTCTCCATTGATATTGGAAATTTCTACTCTAAAAGAAATCCTTTGTCAATATGGCACATGCACCAGCCTATGTAATTTGAACCAAATCCCTCAATCAATATTGGGAGTATGTCCCAAACAGACAGAAGAACAAAAAGTCTGCCAGAAGGACAAATCGACGGCTGGCTTATCTATATCCCTAATGGATTTTCTTCAGTGGAGTATCTATATAAATTTTCACTTTTTGTTAAGTTTAACTCACTGTCAAATTCATGTGGTCGTCCAACCATCCCTTGTGTGAGTTTCCCGACCTTCACTTTTGAGATGTCATAAACTTCACATGCAAAGGGACTCCCTGGAATTTCAATATCGCCATAGCACACAGATATAAGATGTGGCCCCACTTCAGTGGGAGTGAACTCTGCCCTGATTTTGTTGTTCTGAGGGGTTGGGGAAACATCAGCTCTGTATGTGTTATCTGATGGAGCTAAAACGTAAAATAAATGAATAAACATTTATTACATTCAGATTTTAGAGAGAACAACAGTGAAATAAATATGTCCCGAGTTATACATGTATAGTGGACCTACCTACAACTTCAACAATACACGCCTGTGCTGCAGCATGTGTTCCTTGAGGGTCAATTGTGACAAAAGCAGGCTTGTGAATAGGGACCCTAAGCAGGCCATCCCCAACAAAGACAACCCTTCCTGGGTCAAGTACTTCAAACTCAAAGGGACTCCCTAAAATCAAGAACATACAATTCAAACACCATGCATTGGGACTGGCTAAAAGCATTTGGATTAGGAGGTGTTCTCATTTCAAAGTATTGCCAGGTGTTCGGATATAAAGGTTTAACTGTACATATATTTCCATCTTAACAATTAAATATATAAAATTGCTATGGGGTCATGTTTTAAGAAAGGATCAGCAATGCTATACTAAACTGGCATGTTGACTTAATTACATGTACATTGAAACACAAAATAGGTGACTGTAGCACAATCATTTTTTCAAGGGTAATTGTTATCTTTTATTGAAAATGAAATTTGAACTCACCTGCAGTCCTCCTATACTGTAACCACCTTGGCATGATTTGTTAAAAACTAAGACTTCTAATTGAATATTAGACCAGCCAAAAGGCAGTAAGACAGTGACAATATTCTTTCAAATAAAGCTTGTCTTAGATGGTTCCAAAGTCAAATCTCCACACAACTTGTCCCATTGTCAATTGTTGATTTAATGTTTTGTAATACTTATGATATTTCCCATTCTATGTTATCTTTAATATTTTGTGTTTATTCAAGTAAAGACAAGCAAATTATATTAAAACACTCTGCAAAATCAGAACAAAAATATTTAACTCTTAAGTATGGATAATTCTTCCTTGTAATCTGTGATAACAATTTAAAATGAATATTACAAGGCTATATGCCTTATGAAAGGATAATGTATTTGTAATGTAGTATAAAATTATTCCCCTTGGCTTCAAAAGTTCACTTTGGAATGAAAATTGATATGCTACTCTCTAAATAATTGATCACACTATCATAATATTAAAACAATATAGCATAAGTACAACTAAAAATAAAAATAATTTCATGAGCAAAAAGAGAGATCATCTGATGTATAGGTCACAATTTAGAGTAAATAATACTTTGTCTCAGGAAAGGGATTTTAGAAAGTGCTGATATGATCCATGATCTATTCTATGTTCTATTTGTTTATTTCTTTGTTTTTCCACAGGATAGATATGGTGCTAGAGCCAGCTAGCTCACTGACCCCTGACCCAGTTGGTTAAATCATACTGGATTATCGATGAATGTGATTTAGATATAAACACATATGTCATTCATATCATATACACTCACACTAGTTCATAACTAACACATCCACAGTCCAAGAATATACATGTATGAGTTTTCTAACACACATTGTTCATTCTCACACAATAACAAATGAGTTTTGAGACTATACCTTGTACTTGTTCATTATTGAACTTGACACTGATCATGTGAGTATCTGCCATCTGGGGAGTGAATGACACTTGGAATCGTGCATTGCCCTCTGCTTGGACAAAGTTGGGGACATTCTCACCATTCACTGATACAATAATCTCTAGGTTACCAGCCCCTGCCTTACTTGCATCAACTGAAGAATAATAAATGGATTTGATTTTCACATCATATTCTTTTTAACATAATATAAATCAAAATATTGGGACTTTGGATGAAAAGGTATGCAGATAACATATTTTTTGTTTTACTTCAAGTATGCTCTTCAGAGAAATATTTCCTTTAAACTCATAAATTTCTCCTCTTTCTACATGCATGTAAAATTAGCAATATAATCCAAGATCCAGCTTCTTCAATTATTCTCATGTTATACATGATGGACTTCTATGTAGTGACTCACTGTTGAAATATGCAGGTTTCCCAATCTTTCCATGTCCAAGATTTGACACTGTCACCTTATTTGGGTCATATGCTCTTGCAGTGAAAACACCACTGTCTATCTGCATTCCTCTGTACATTACTACTATACGATGGTCCCCAACCATTGTAGGGACCCACTCTATAGTGTATGACCCATCTCCATTGTCCTTCAGACGTACTTGTACCTGGTTGCCACTAGGGGCTGAAATATGACAAGAATTATTGTGAAAAAAACATCAAAAATATTAACTGAAAATATAAAATGCAAAGACATAAAATTGTGAAGTAAACTTATTTGCTATAGCATGACATAGGACAAGTTCAAAACTTAGCTGATTTATTTGAAATATCGCTGGTTCTTTTAAAACATAGCAGGTTTATTTTATTAAGTAGGTTTATTTAATGCATAGCCTGTGTGTTGTAAATACAGCCAGTTAATTTGAAACAGCAGGTCCGAAATAGTTGAAACAGCAGGTTCATTTAAAACAGCAGGTTAATTTGAAACAGCAGGTTTATTTAAAACATAGTAGGTTTATTTGAAACAGCAGGTTTATTTGAAAAGGCAGATCACTTGTACAGCAGGTTTATAGCAGGTTTATTTGAAACAGCAGGTTTATTTGAAACATAGTATGTTTATTTGAAACAGCATGTTTATTTGAACATCAGGTTTATTTGAAACAGCAGTTTTTTAAGATAAAGTAGGTTTATTTGAAACAGCAGGTTCATTTGAAGCATACATGTAGTATGTTTATTTGAAACAGCATGTTTATTTGAACATCAGGTTTATTTGAAACAGAAGTTTTTTAAAATAAAGTAGGTTTATTTGAAACAGCAGGTTTACTTGAAACATAGTATGTTTATTTGAAACAGCATGTTTATTTGAACATCAGGTTTATTTGAAACAGCAGTTTTTTTTAAAATAAAGTAGGTTTACTGAAACAGCAGGTTCATTTGAACCATAGTCATTCTTTCTTGCACCATGACACAAATAAAAGCAATAACACGGTGCAGTATCCAAACTGCGTGCATACTATGCACGCAGTTTGAAACCCTGACAAACTGCACGCATATTTAAAAATGGCAGACAAGGAGGACACAACTCCCATAAGGATGAAAAGTACTGGAAATACAAGGTTAATTTTGTTTATCCGATATTACCATTTTGTGGAGACTAGCTTACTTTACAAGTTGCACTCGATTTTTTTCCTGGTGCTTATATTTTAAAAACTACGTTCATCTAGACATAACTTTCGATATCACATGGTAGAACCATATAATCGCCACCGAATGGACGTATGAAACTATAAAAACAATGCAGAATAAATGTCTTAAAATGACATTTGAAAACACTTGTATGATGCAATGTTGATATGCGGGCAGTTTGTCAATGTTACAAACTGCGTGCATAGTATGTACGCAGTTTGGATACCGCGGGGTGAATAAGCAAAATTAACATTCCACATGTATTTCCAAGCCTGAGCAATTCCTTAAGCATGAGCATGACTATAACATATAGTACACATTCTATGATATATTGTATACATCATGATCATTATTTGTTTTTCACCAATGTTGGATTGGCATTTTGTTCCTCCCTCTTTTAAGGAAAATATCATTGGATTTGCAAGCCCCTGGTTCTCATGGCATGGAGCCTTAATAATTGAGCTGCTTTGTCTTTGAGCTACAAATCAGTATTACTTGCTCTCTGGGCCTGTACCAGTATGCTATTAGCATGAGCCACATGTAAGATTTGGGCACAGCACTTTTCAAAGTCATGGATATAGCCATGGCATGATACAGGCTAGACACTGTCTCTCCAAAAATCTGTTATGTAATATACCAGGCAGTTTTTGACATGAAAATGTAAAAATGAAGTTGAATTAACTCAAATCTGTCTGGCATATAAATATATTAGTAAAAAAGTTGTGACAAAACATTTAGTAAAACAATAATCCCTAAAGCCAGATCAATGTCATGAAAATTGTAATTTAGTAACATGCTGGCAATTACTTTAGCATCAAGTATCCCCTTTATAGTGAATCAATACAAGTATTCTCTTTCCCTGATGTCCTGCACAAATATCTGTGCCCATATTAACTGTACCATAAGTAAGGATCCTGACTTTATCTCTGCTATTGAGTTCTACATTTTCAGGGTGGGAATGGGAGTGCAACTTTGATTATGTCTTGTGCCAGGTTACCAAGATGAAATACTAGGTGTACACTAATGGGGTGTCTGAGGACATGTTCCCCTCGAAAAACTCTACATTATAAAAGACAAATGGTGGCATGTTTAGATAGTCCTTCATTTCTGAGAAAGTTGCACCCTTCGACGTCGTCGCGGGAAAGCTGATTATCTAATCCTTAGATTAAAATGTCTATATGTATATCTTGTCTGAGTTTCTCTTTAATATTATAGAACACAGCTATGGTGGTATAATATATACATGTACATGAAATATCAAATATGGGTAATCTAAGATTATGTGGGTTCCCTCTATCATGATGTATGTGAATTACCAATAGTAAACACAAGGTGCACTTATATTAACATTTAAGGAAAATGGGTTGGATGGGCTTGATACGGGTGGTATATGGAGCAGTGCAATTTTGGAATCATAACTACATTTATATTCTGACATAACATATATAAAGCCAAGCCATCATCCAAATCAAAGACACTGTATCACACATCACATTCTATTCTATGACTTTCACACAAGACTCCCAATGAATGGTGGTAGCAAACATATAAACATTACATCATACAATATATCATTCTTAACATTCAACCAGAGGATGGATAAAAACAGGTAGAATAAGGCCTTTTTAATATGTACCATGGGTATATCATGTCCATTGCAAATTATCAATGCCCATTGTATATATTGAAGTAATTCACAAAGTGGGAAGGTACCCAAATACCATTATTATATGTGTTGCATTGTGGGTATAATCCTCCATTGTGCAACATGTAAATAAAATAAATATTAAAGGAGGAAACTTTTTATGACTGACAATTGGTTCTTAATTTCAAACAATTTATTATCAATAGATTAATTTTCAAATTTTATTGCTTTATGATGTCTTGTGAACTGTGATAGTATACGTTGACAAACTTTCACAGATATGATGCGATACCAGAAATTTTATATGAAAAATTCTCATACATGAGAATGATGGCAAAGTGTCCTCCTCCCTGCAACATTCAGCAACAACATGGTAGGGAGGTACATTTAAGCAACATATAAGAAGTGTTCAATCGTCATATGAGAATAATAATGTCCCAATTGCCATTTTTGAAAAAATTGAGATTTTCACAGATTTCCACTATTTAAATCATCCTCTTTCTTCCTGTGATATCTCCTTACCCTCATCTCTTCTCAATAGCCTGCTTTTCAGTGTCAAATTGTCCATTGAAAATACATGCAAAATGGACATAGCTCAGCTTTAATCTTTTGATATTCTGAAAAATCTCCATTTTAAAAAAAATGTGAGTTGGGACATTTTTATTCTCATACGGCACAATATCATTTAAATGACAACAGCCGCATAAGCACAAATGAACAGGTATGGTATGCCATATGATTGGAGACAGTCATATTTTTACCAATACTACATTCTGACAATAAATACAACATTTTTCATTAAAATAATCAACTCTCTTTGAAATAAAGTTATCACAAAATAGAAATCTAGCTCTGAAAAATAATTGTTTAATACCCCATCTCAACACATCTTTAAAAATAGCAAACTCTTGAAAAAAGGAGATCTTTTCACATTTTTGCAATATCAAGAGTCTTCTGCAATTCATCAATAACCTCAGAAAGGGGAATCAACAGTAAAATGTGATAGAATTGGAAACAACATATCCCACAACATTTTCTCATATGGGAAACTAAAAGGGACAACATTTGAAGTTAAACATCGTATTTACTGTAAATAAAGCAAAAAACAAGATCTTTCTTTTAGAAAATTAAGTCCAACATTTTGAAAAATGAGTTGAGAGTTTATGGTGTGAAGATATGACTGAAATAATTCATTTGGTTTACTACCATACTTGGTTTGTTAATCAAAACAATATATATATATAAGCACAAGGGTATTTTAAATTAACGCAAAAAACGGAAGCATTGTCATCAAAAATACAAATTAAATAACCAAAGCAGAAATTTGGTACTTAACCAATGTACAAGAAATACTTACAAGTGATTCCAACATCAACATCTCCAGTTCTTGCTCCAACAGCACTTACAATAAATGAGGCAACCTTGTTGCAAGCAACTAGCCCAAGGCCTGCTCCTGAGGCCATGATGATGATGGGGTCCTGTACCTCTATAGGGAAAGCACTTCCTGAAAACATAAATGTAATGCAAATGATTTAGGCAATAGAAAATGAAGCAAATGATTTCTCATGATCTTATCAGTTACCCCCTTCCTTTAAACCCTCTTACCTCAATTGATCTTATCAATTATCCCCTTCCTTTAAACTCTCTTTCCTCAATTGATCTTATCAGTTACCCCCTTCCTTTAAACTCTATTACCTCAATTGATCTTATCAGTTACTCCCTTCCTTTAAATCCTCTTACCTCAATTGATCTTATCAGTTACTCCCTTCCTTTAAATTCTCTTACCTTAATTGATCTTATCAGTTACCCCCTTCCTTTTCTCTCTTACCTTATTGATCTTATCAGTTACCCCCTTCCTTTTCTCTCTTACCTTAATTGATCTTATCAGTTACCCCCTTCCTTTTCTCTCTTACCTTAGGTGATCTTATCAGTTACCCCCTTCCTTTTCTCTCTTACCTTAGGTGATCTTATTAGTTACCCCCTTCCTTTTCTCTCTTACCTTAATTGATCTTATCAGTTACCCCCTTCCTTTTCTCTCTTACCTTAATTGATCTTATCAGTTACCCCCTTCCTTTTCTCTCTTACCTTAATTGATCTTATCAGTTACCCCCTTCCTTTTCTCTCTTACCTTAGGTGATCTTATCAGTTACCCCCTTCCTTTTCTCTCTTACCTTATCATATCAGTGTTTCAGTGACATTTTGAATTCAAATGAATATTTGTAATATAATTCAACATGCAGCTGATTACCTTGTGCATGTACAGTAAACCATTTCAAAGTATTACATAGTGACGAAATAATTATTGTAAAAAATGCAAAGAACAATATTAAAGGAAAAAACACATTGAACTATTAGGGGCTTTCAAATAACAAAGGTTTTGCTGTATTTCAATTTGATTGGTGCTATATATAGGTATGTGGGTGTATAGTGATTAGTACTATTAATTGTTCTAAATTATCTTAAATTACTTTTGGCAATACTGGTTGCCTATCAATCAACATCTGCTTACACAAATAATTCATTCAGTTAATAATACTACATTTTACTACAAGCCCCTTAGCTTATTCCTTGCTAATATCATTCTATTTCACAATGTTATGCATTTCAAAGATCTTGACATTCCCTTTATTGATAATAAAACCTAAGCTGGTGAAATTTGAACTGCACCCGAAATGTCTGTCTCCTTATGAATAGGTTTATAGAAATAGTACCATGGGTACTGGGCTCACATGGTGTTGCTCAAAAGTGAATGATAGCTAAAATGACAGAAAATAAAAAAAAACAGATATAATGTTTTGCCGATTTTTTGTAACAAAACTATATCATACAACTACTCTTTACAAAGACATGGGTTTTTACAATGCAGGACACCTGAAATTATTTGTAAAGCTAGGAAATGGGCCAAAATGAATTTTGCGAGACAAAAATGGTGGCCATTTTGAAAATAGGTGAGCTTTTGAAGCAGGATTCACAGGTTTTTTTTCTTAATTGATGTTGAATAAAAATATTTTATTTAAAATGGGAATATTATCGACAGAGGTTTTAGTTGATGGACGGACGGACAGACAGATAGACAGACAGACGGTCAAGTGAGTGATTGCAAAAGCTCACCATGTGAGCTAATAAAAACATGGTTTCCTTAAATTGGGGTATTTTCAATCACAATGGACTGATCACAGTAATTTAATAAACTTTTGTTCAGAAGCAATTTTTAAATGGTTGTACAGATCATTATTCAAATGACATATAAAATATTGCTTTGATATAAGGATCTTGTCTCTACCATGCATTAGATAATTTATCATGTCAGTAGATTCTTTTAATACAAGGTATGTTCCCCTTATCGTCAATAGAAAACTTGTCTTTTGATGGTCATTCATGTTTTTAAAATTACTACACAGGTTTTCAAGTTTTTCAATATGAGATTTTGTGATGTACTCCAATTGTTTACATTTGAATAAAAAGTGTGTTTCATCGTCTATAACTGAGTCCTTACATATTTTACAAAGTCGACTATTTAGATCAGTAATGGGTCTTGTATATCTGCCTCTCTTCACCTCTAGATTGTGGGCGCTTATACATAATCTAGTGAGATGTTAAGCATTTGAAAGTGTCGTTTCTGAAAGGTATTGTTCAAATCCAAAGTGCCCTTTTAGTTGTTTTTTTGAGAATATCACATGTTATATTAATTTACAATGAAGACACTTATCTATATTTCTTCCTAGCTTTTTATTATGGCACTATGGAGAGGCAGATGATAAATATACAAGTACATACAGTACACTTTCACAATAACACCACTATCATACCAAACTAGTTCTCAACCATTCTTTCCAGTTCGTTCAGATGGAACCATGTCGGTATGCACACATATTGCAATTGATATCCGATTGCACAACGTTGTTTAACGCATCCCTAGGGTTGAAGTATGGCAATTACGTTCCTGGTCTAGTAGGTCATCTCGTTTGAAGTACGTTGTCACACGATCTGATTACAGAACGGTACGGTCGACATCGAATTTTGAATCATTTCAAAATTCTAAAATCAACTTCCCGTCTGAGAACGTTCATGAAGTTTGTAAATAGACCTTAGAAAGTTGCAGCTACGTTCATTCCGTTCGCACATTTCAAAACCAGTTTTGAAGAACGCAGTGGCAACTTGTTTGGTGTGATATCTATATTTTTGCTAACTTGTTCATAAGCAGTCTTAATACGCTCTTAATCAGTTTAAATCCATTTGCAATTAGTTCTACCTCACTCTCAATACAGTACTCAGACAGGTCAACTCGTTGTAAAAACGTCCCTAGTAGGATTGAAGTACGACTGTTCCGTTCATAGTACGTCCAGCTCGTCTTAAGTACGTTGTCACTCGTTCTAGTCCGTTCGTACACAGTTGAAGCCCGTTTTCAAGAACGAAGTGAGAACTAGTTTGGTATGATAGTAGGGTAACTAATTCAAAACTTAGTGAGCACCTTCTGGTCACAGTATATTTGATGTCCCATTGAATTCAATACCATCTATTATCCTCTGAAATCAAAAACGCTTTTCAATATGAAAACCTTCAGCTGGTTCAACCTATGTTGATTTAGGAGAAAGCAAAAATTAATTCTAAAACATTTTAGCAAAAGGGCATCTACCTTTAAAGAACCAAGTCACACAACAGTTTCTGTAATTGAATAATCAACAATATTTTTTACCAAAAATGGCAGTCATTTTGATTCAAATTCATAAAATTTGCAATGAGTGATCTGGTAGCTTTTCGGCTATCCTTCTCAAACTTATGTCATTGGAAAACTGACAACTGTTTAAAATTAAAGTTTTAGTTTAAACTTTAAAGTAAAACTTGATCATCAAGAGATGTGAGTGTAACGAAGTTTAATCGGAGTGTAAGGTACAAATACTCAGCTAAGGACACTTCTATTTCAGGATTTTGCAGATCAAAAAATAACCGAAAAATAAAAACTAGAAAATAAACTTGATAATTAATAGTAAAATACCTGAAGGGGATGCTTTAATGGGTTTTATGTACTGTATACCCTTCCTTAAAAGATCACTGATCACCTGTTCAAAATGTTCCTCTTAGCTTCATATGGTAGAGTTACTTCACTTATGTCTTTTTATTTTCTACTCTAAAACAAATTGTTGCTTAAAATATTCTGAGTGTTCATTCACACTTTAATATATTGACCTTCTTTGATGTTATTGTTTTGTAAACATCCAGTAAATCCAATCCCATATTTAAAAACTACTCATCTATTGATGTTTAAAGGGTGTGTCTTACGGAGAGAGTGTCTTGGTGGTTATGCTTTAAAGTACAGAATAGAGTTATAACCATGAAATAAACTAAACAGGAATGAGCGAAATATTCAAAATTATCTAAAGATTCAAAAACAGGTTGTAGAAATAATGCGATATAAATCATAAAAAGGGTGTGCACTTGTGTAAATATATACTCATTCTGAAGGAGTTAAGTTCACCATACTGTTAAAAGGTCTCTCTTTTCATGAGAAAAAATGAAAATGATTCAATATTGCTGGATCCTTTATATTAAAGCATTATTAGATACTAATAACTAGCACTCTCACTTCACCTGTATACTATAAAGCAGCATCTATGCAGTACAGTGGCAAACATTACCTACATGCATATGCCTGTTTTACAACTGTTTTCTTGACTACTCTTTTCCACTGAACTCTCAATTATAAATATGGTTACCATGACGGAACCATTAAATTATATCATGTATTGTTGACTTTATAGATCTTTCTAAACACATTATATTTAATAGATCAGTGTTGATGTATATCCCAAGGGGAGATCTAACTGAGTTAAGCCATTTTCAGCCAAATAACAATCCATATTAGCCCTTTAACTTGTTCAAATGCATTACACGTTCTCCAATAAAGATATCTTGTTCTAATGATTTCCAAAACATTTCAGCAACAAAAATATTTACCATTTTAATCCAAAAGCAGACGTTCTCCTTTCCTGATGTAAATCCAACAAAGATGATCACTTATTCAAATTACAGTTTCCCATTTATGTTTAATATGAGGCTTGCATACAGGTATTTCACCTTAGCTTTCCGCTGTGCTGAGCACCAAATTCAATCTTAACACAGTATGTGTGTTTGGCTAAAGGCATGCATTTACACATGCACATGTAAGCCTAATGGATTTTGTTCAAAAAACTAACCCACTGACTCAAGGCAAAATAGCCTATGAGAGAAATGTACATATTTCAACAGTAACATGCAAAAGTTGTATACCACTTTTATGTGTAGCTGTAACCTCTTAAGTTGATGGCATTCTTTCTCAATAGAATATTAAACAAAAATGTTGAGCTTATTTGAAAAAGATTTAAAGCCTTTAAACCGGATAAGTTTATGTCAACAATGTGAACAGCTTATATTGGTTATTCGTAGCATGAGTCCTTTTAATACAAGGGAAACACCCAGTTTACACTGACACCTATTTATTAGTGACAAACTAAAAACATATTTCAA